TGAAGTATTTTCAAGTAGACCAGATCTTCGTGATTTTCCCATCCAGAACCCTGATGTTCAATATTACACCGACGGCAGTAGTTATGTAAAAGAAGGGATCCGCTATGCAGTAACAACGATAGACAAGGTGATAGAAGCTCGGCCACTGGCAAAAGGAACATCAGCACAAAAGGCAGAATTGATAGCACTGACACGAGCGTTACAATTGGCTGAAGGATTAAGAGTGAACATCTACACGGACTCCAAGTATGCGTTTTTAACCACTCATGCCCACGGAGCTTTGTATAAAGAAAGAGGACTATTGAATTCAGAAGGTAAAGAAATCAAATACGCAGCTGAGATCCTACAACTATTGGAAGCAGTGTGGGAGCCGAAAGAAGTCGGTATTATACATTGTCGGGCGCATCTGAGAGGAGATGGTGATGCAACCAAAGGGAATCGGATGGCAGATAGTGCAGCTAAGCGTGCTGCTGAATCAGGAAGACAGGAATATGTGGGGCATATAGCTGCTCTTATACCAACTCCACTGTCTCAATGGACTCCAATTTATACAGCTCAAGAAGGAGGAGTGGTTAAGGACTGAACCTGGAAAGTATTTGGAGAACAAATGGTATCAGTTAGAAGATGGAAGAATAGTTATTCCAGCATCACTAGCGGTAGAAATTGTCCAAAACTATCATAACGGGACACATTCTGGGAGAGACAGTACAGAAGAATCTCTCAGAAAACATTTCTACATACCAAGATTGTCCAACTTGACTCATGCCATTGTACGTAGATGTGTAACGTGTGCTAAAAATAATGCAAGACAAGGACCAGTAAAGCTACCAGGAGTCCAGTTTATGGGGGGACTTCCCATGTCCGATTTACAAATTGACTATACAGTGATGCCTAAATCGGGTGGACATCGCTACCTGTTGGTAGTGGTGTGCACCTATTCAGGCTGGGTAGAAGCATGTCCTACTCGTACAGAGAAAGCAGGAGAAGTCGTGAGATTCCTGCTACGAGAAATAATACCTCGATATGGACTACCCTGCTCTATAGGATCGGACAATGGTCCAGCTTTTGTTCATCAGTGCCTACAACAATTGACTCATATGCTTGGTATAAAGTGGAGGCTTCATACGGCATATAGACCCCAGAGTTCTGGTAAGGTAGAGAGAATGAATAGAACTATTAAGAATCAGTTGGCTAAAATGTGTCAGGAAACCCAACTTAAGTGGAACGTTCTCTTGCCCATAGCTCTATTGCGAATCCGTAGTACACCTACCAGAAGGATGGGCCTCTCTCCTTTTGAAATCATGTACGGGCGACCACCTCCCGTGCTTGGTAACTTAAGGGGGGATTTGAGTCAGTTGGGAGAAGGAATTACCCGGCAGCAGGTTGTAGAGTTGGGTAAGACTATGGAGGAGGTACAGAAATGGGTACAAGATAGATTACCTGTGAATATTTATCCCCAATTCATAGTTACCACCCAGGCGACCAAGTGTGGATTAAAGAGTGGAATAATGTGCCGTTAGGGCCCAAGTGGAGAGGTCCTTATGTTGTTCTTCTGTCTACCCCTACAGCGATAAAAGTAGCCGAAGTGGCTCCGTGGATACATCACTCCAGGGTTAAACCAGCAGCAGCCGATTCCTGGCAAGTTACAGCAAATCCAGAGAATCCCTGCAAGATCCGGTTAAAACGCACGACTCAGTCGGAGTGACGAGGAACCTTGTAGATTACAAATTTTATTGTTTCAGAGACTTGGTAAGTGAGTGAGAAGGCCATAATAAAGCCTGTCCACTCACCAACGAGTGTATAAGTCAGGGAAAGTCTTGAGGGGACCCCTGTGAAGACGAGCAGAACTCCATTCCCTGCAGTCCTTACATCCTGGAAGCTGAGGTGCCTTCACACGGACAAAGACTGAGGATGACGACGAAAGATGTATTTTTAATAATGTTTATTTATGTGTATTTTTATATTCAGGAAGGTAGAGGTACCAACACTCCTAGCTGTGAGGTATGCATTAAGACTACAAGAACAGGTAACCATATATCCCAGACCCTAATTTGGCATTCGCAATATGAGTGTAAAGGAGATGTATCAAGATGTAGATACTTAAATATAGAATATAGTGTGTGTCATTTAGGAGTAGGAGAACCTAAGTGCTTCAGTCCTGAGTATCAACCCCGTACAATTTGGTTGACTCTCAGAAATGGAGATTCTCAGGGGACCCTAATTAATAAGACGGTATTAAAATCCGTATATTCTTCAGGTGCTCTGCTATTTGATGCGTGTAAAGCAATATCAAGTGGTAGAAAGCCGTGGAATGTATGTGGGGATCTTAGATGGGAGAGGACGTATGGGTCTAACGATAAATATATTTGTCCCAGTAGTAAAAATAAATATGTAAGTCCAAGATGCCCAAATAGAGATTATAACTTCTGCCCATATTGGTCTTGTGTGGGGTGGGCGACTTGGGGACAGACAGCAGACAAGGACATGATTGTGACTAAGTTGCCTACTAATCCATATTGTAAGTCTATGGAATGCAATCCAATCCATATACTTATAAATAACCCTGACAAGTTCTTAGATAAATATGGTAATTTATTTGGGTTTCAAATATATGGGACGGGTTTAGACCCTGGGACAATATTGTTTATAGGGATAGAGACTGATACGGTAACCTCCCAAACTCATCAAGTATACCATTCCTTTTATGAAGAGATGAGCATAGATAATAAGATCCCCCATAATGCTAAAAACTTGTTCATTGATTTAGCCGAGAGTATTGCCGGTAGTCTTAATGTTACCAACTGCTATGTGTGTGGAGGTACTAACATGGGAGACCAATGGCCTTGGGAAGCAAAGGAGGTAATGTCCGGTTCTGAGGCAGTTGACCAATTAATATCTACACAAGCCGACTATCATATGAGTGTTAGAGGTAAATCTGAGTGGAGATTGAAGACCTCCATCATAGGTTATGTTTGCATAGCGAGGAAAGGAATGATGTATAATACTTCTGTAGGAGAATTAACTTGTCTAGGGCAAAAAGCTTATGATGATGATACAAAGAATACAACTTGGTGGTCGGCTTCAAATGTCTCAGAACCATCTAACCCGTTTGCAAGATATGCCAATTTAAAGGACGTATGGTTTGATCTATCCATCACATCTAACTGGAGAGCCCCAGCGAATTTGTACTGGATCTGTGGTAAGAAGGCCTATTCGGAGTTACCACAGGACTGGGAAGGGGCATGTGTGTTGGGTATGTTAAAACCATCCTTCTTCTTGTTGCCTATTGAAACAGGTGAGACTTTAGGTGTTAAAGTGTATGATGTGAATCATAGGAAGAAAAGGGGACCCATAGAGATAGGTGCCTGGGAAGATAATGAATGGCCTCCCCAGCGTATTATAGATTATTATGGGCCAGCCACGTGGGCAGAGGATGGTACCTTTGGTTATAGAACCCCTATTTATATGCTCAACCGCATTATAAGGTTACAGGCGGTGGTTGAGATCATTACTAACGAGACATCACAAGCGCTCAATCTTCTAGCGAAGCATAATACCAGGATGAGGACAGCAGTTTACCAAAATAGATTAGCCTTGGATTATCTTTTGGCAGTAGAGGGAGGTGTATGTGGGAAGTTTAACCTGAGCAATTGCTGTCTTCAAATAGATGACGAAGGGCAAGCAATAGCTGAGCTTACTAGCCATATGGTTAAACTAGCGCATGTGCCTACTCAGGTATGGAAAGGGTACAATCCAAGTAGTTGGTTTGGTAGCTGGTATGAGTGGTTTGGAGGGCTTAAGGCAGTGGTAGGTGGAGTCCTACTGATTTTAATGTTGTGTCTACTCCTGCCGTGTCTTATACCCTTAGTAGTTAGGTCTGTGCAAAGCCTGATAGAAAATATAGCAGAGAGGAAGGCTGCTGCACAGATAATGGCAATTTATAAATATAAGGCTCTAGATCAGGGAGAACCAATGCAGGAAGACGAGTGTTGAAGATTCACATCATAGGATAAGTCTGGTCTGGTTCAAAGGTAACTTGTGGTGTATGCAAACCAAGGTTAAGTGATGCCTCAAGTAATTGTAAAATATCAAGAGGCATCAAAGGGGGGAATGTGGTGGAATCTCGGTAAAAATAAATTTAGTAGGCCGAGATTACCACGTGGCATGTGTACGTGCATATGCTGACGTATCGATCAGTTGGTTGCACGAGGCAAGATACGATCAGTAGTGTACGGAGCATGTGCAAGAATACAGGATGTAGTATTCCCCTCCTCCATTGTGCTGGACAAGCCATGCGGTCAAGCAGGAAGTTAATTCTTATTTGTAATGATTGGTCAAGAGAATGTGCGGGTGGAGCTTAATATGGGAGGAGTTATGTGCCTATATAGGGAGCCTGCACTATTGTTCAGGGCTCAGAACTTGCTGTATTTTTGGTGACATTAGTCCCTCTGAGTCCCGATCGGTGATCCAATAAAGAATCTCTTCCTTCCTGAAGAAACCTGTGTCCATCCCTCTGTGCTTTGCTTCCGTCAGTTTCTCCGGTATCAATATTTTTATTATCCATCACTGTCTGCTAATTTTTATATTTTGTTCTTAACTCTTTCTTATCCTCATCTACTCTATATACCAATATCATTTTAATGTATTTATTTATTCTTTTACACTTATTGCTGTTTATTATTATGCCACATTCCATTATATGTTACAAGTAACATGTCCTTTTTTATTCATGTGTTTCTATAACTGTTCCTCTTTTTATCCTTTCTTTTTATGCAGAAGTGTTTATTTATAACTAATAGGTTTCTTGCCACCTCCAATATGGCTGCTGCTATGCTTTTTACATAGCTTTATGCAGTCCATTCCCCTACAAAGATGGCCGCTGCGCCCATTTCCTTTTCACCTAGCCGTTTTCCGGCCACTCCCCCTTCCTCTCCCCTCCGGTCCTCGGCCACTCCCCTCTTTTGAGCCTACTACATGGCTCCACAATTCCCCCGGAAATAAGCTTGGGCATGTAGTTCATGATACAACTACATGCCCCAGCATACCGAGCGACCGGAAGTGACGTTGTGCTTATGACGCGCGCAACAGGACTGAGTTAATAGTAAGAAAATTCTCTTTATTATCACCTTGTTTTTACACTACAATTATATATTCCACATCCTATTAGTTATATCTATGTACTTACAAAGGTTTATAGCTGTTATTTGTGTGTAATCACAATCTGCTCTGTGATTGGTCAGAGCAGTTTTGGCGCAATTTTCAAAGTTGTCCCAAGCCTATATATACCCCAACTAGCCAGGTTGATATGTTTTTAATCCATTGATAAAGCCTATATTGGTGAAACGCGTTTGGATATTGTACTGTTTTTTTAATTACTGTTAATAAATAGATTTTGGTCATTTTATTCTTTTGCACCATTATCTTTTATTTATTTTTATTTTACTTTTTATTATAACTACCTGGCTTTTTACCTATTATCTCCTATACTCCAAAGAATCCCGAGGTGGGGATTATACCACCCGTGCATATACCATAGAGCAGTTAGCCTGCCCTGTACATTGTGAGTATATTTTATTATATTTTATATACCAGCATTATTTTACTGAGAGCACTATTGCTGTTTTATTATCTTCTCCCTGAGCTCCTGTTACCATCTTAAAGAACTATTTCAAAGAACGCTCACCATATATCCCAGAGGCGGGGATCATACCGCTGTATGCCTACTACACTAGAGCTAGTAAAAGCTCTATTAAATGTGAGTGTATCTACTATATTTAAATTACTTCTTATCCACTTTTGGAACATACTGCACCATCACTGTTATTCGTTTTATCTTCCCCCTGGCTGTCTGTCACTACACCGAAAAGGAGACTCACCGCATATCCTACAAGCGGGGATCATACCGCTGCAAGCTATTCATACCAGAGCTCGATTACGCTCTACAAAAAGTGAGTTATTATCTCTTCTATTTTATTTGAATACCTTTTGGATCACTCTTTACCACCATTATTTTCATCATCCATCGCCCTCCTCCATATACCTGTAAGGAGTGAAATTCTACAACTTCAGAGACCAACATAAGACCAAAGTTTCATTATACTGGACTCTATTTCAATATTTCTACCTCAACCAGGACTTTTTTACTTAATTTGTTCACTGGTGCAGTCCCATCCTTTTGTTTATATGCTACAATAGTTGTAAAAAAATTAACATCAATCTATGTTTATTATCCAATAATGATAAAGCATAAACCATTTTTTAATTAAAACATGGTGTTCCACTGTCATAGACCTAGGGTTTCCCCTATGCGATATGCGATTCCCTTGTGCCGGAGTAACCAGGAGAGACCCTCCATCTCAGTTGCATTCAAGAGAGGTCCTGATAAAAAGACAAAACATTGCCCTCAAAATCATAAGAGGGGACACTTCGGACAACTTTCATTATGGCTTATTCATGTCCCATGCGGGACAACCGAGCGATCACATTACAGGACCTCTTGACTTCGCTCCAGGTAGGTTAGAGATCCCATCCACTGGCATGGTGGCAGTTGATTTGCACATCAGCATAGCAATTAATAGACAGGTGATATTAGCTGACAATTCAGCCACAGGGATAGTGTCAGGAACGTCTCTGATCTTTATATGTTTAGAGTGGCTGCCATCCTCCAAGGTCACCATTCTGGACTGCATAGCCTCAGAAGTTCCTCAGAGACTAGATAGGATATCAGTAGTTTCAGTGCAATTCCAAGTAAGGTCCCCAACCTCTCTCTCCACAGCCATCATGCGGCCCCCCAAGTGTGTGCACCTCTTCCTGGACCTTCCCCACCTCTGTCACCGATAGTTGCTTTAGCTCCTAAGAACAGCCATAATATTTTCCTTCATGGAGGGAATTGTATCTTCCTCATCTGAGAACGTGTGGTAATGGCCTGATGAGAAGAAGTTGTTGGGTGCATCCATCACCTGCTCCTCTGAGGATAAAGATTCCTCCATGGGCACAGCTACCACCTTAGGAGAAGGTCTGTTCAAGCCTCAAATCAGATAGTCTCCAATATCTCAGGAACCGCCAGTCTGTGAATCCCGTATCTTCTATGATCACCTTGCCATGACGGTTGGTATCATAAATATTAGACATAGTGGCCAAATTAGATTTTAGAAGGCCATAAGGATGGAGCTCACTCTAAGCAGCTCCAGTACTAACTTCAGAGGGGTTAGTATCTGTCTCAGAGAAGGTCAGGCTGGGGGGTCACTATCTGCCTCAGAGGAGAATAGACAGAGACGGTCAATGCCTGTAAGGCATCAGTGGCAGGGCTGGCTCTCTCAGGAGATGCACTGCATTCTGACCTGCAGATATTTCTCACAGTCTGCAGGACTGATGCTGCTCAAGCACCTTCCCAGGCAAAGGGATCTATAATCGGTGGGGAGATCAAAAATCACCCTCACAGTCCAAATGCCTTGAGGGAGAAGGGAGGACTTTGCCTCCCTCAATCTACTGTATCAGAGCACCGTGAGTGCAGACGAGCAGATTCTTCCACCTGACTACCAGGCCAAATGTAATCCTCAGGGTGGGGGAAATAAACTTATGGGGGTGTTTCTTTTAATTAATGTTTTTATATATATTGCACCTATGCCTCATCACAGATACTCCCCACTACAGCTCACGTTCCTCCTTCACCAAGTAAAGCCCTATTCCTCCCTGTACCCACCACAGCTACCCATTACTACCTGCACCCTATAAAGCAACTATCCCTATCTTGAACCCACTGCAACCCCTACTGCTCTACACCCAAAAAAATCCATATTATTCCCTGCATCCACTTCAACCGATATCTTCCACTACAGCACATTTCCACCTGCACACACTACAGTCCCTATCCCCCTTGAGACCAATTCATCCTCTAACCCCCCATACACTCACTGCAGCACCTGTGTTCCGATGTTGTGGCAGGCTTATGCAATATATGATCATATAATGTAACTAAACCCTCATTATTTTTTGCCTAAGTGAGGTGTTTTTAAATAAAACTATTACAATCTGTAAGATTTAAAAACCATATTTTAGTGAATAAGCGAGTGAGCTGGATTGTGTATGTTTTTATATATATATATATATATTATATAAAAAATAACCCAATAACCCCATCACAGCCATCCCCCACTACAGCTCCTATTACTCCATGCACAAAGTAAAGTCCCTTATACATAGGCGTGCGCACGGGGTGTGGCGGGTGTGCCTGGGCACACCCTAATCCCCGTGGCACGCCTATGGTTTGAGTCCTGCAGGAACAGCGTTCCTGCAGGCACTCAGTGCCCCCTGTTTCACCTCTTGCCCCTGTCATGGGAGGGCAAGAGGTGATGATTCCACCCACCCTGCAGTTCAGCCGCGGCGAGGGAGCTCTCTGCTCTCTGCTGTCTGCTCCCTCTCGCCGCGCGCTGATGCCGGGAGCCGGAATATGACGTCATATTCCGGCTCCCAGCTGCAGCAGACAGCCCGCGCGGCGAGAGGGAGCAGACAGCAGAGAGCAGAGAGCTCCCTCGCCGCGGCTGAACTGCGGAAAGGCGCCCGCCCCCACTGGACCCCAGGGAAAAGTCCACCAGCACTCCAGGTAGGAGGCTGGGTGGACATTTTTTTTTTTAAATTAAAATATAATAATTTGTGTGTGTGTCAGTGTGTCTGTGAGTGTGTGAGTATGTGTCAGTGTGAGTGTGTGAGTATGTGTCTGTGAGTGTGTGAGTATGTGTCAGTGTGTGTGTGTGAGTGTGTGTCTGTGAGTGTGTGAGTATGTGTCAGTGTGAGTGTGTGTCTGTGAGTGTGTGAGTATGTCAGTGTGAGTGTGTGTCTGTGAGTGTGTGAGTATGTGTCAGTGTGTGTTTCTGTGAGTGTGTGAGTATGTGTCAGTGTGTGTTTCTGTGAGTGTGTGGGTATGTGTCAGTGTGAGTGTGTGTCTGTGAGTATGTGTCAGTGTGTGTTTCTGTGAGTGTGTGAGTATGTGTCAGTGTGTGTTTCTGTGAGTGTGTGAGTATGTGTGAGTGTGTGTCTGTGAGTGTGTGAGTATGTGTCAGTGTGTCTGAGTGTGTGAGTATGTGTCAGTGTGTGTGTGTCTGTGAGTGTGTGAATATGTGTCAGTGTGAGTGTGTGTGTGTCTGTGAGTGTGTGTGTCAGTGTGTGTGTGTGTGTCTGTGAGTGTATGAGTGTCTGTGAGTGTGTGTGTGTGTGTGTGTGTGTGTGTGTGTGAGTGTGTGTGTGTCTGTGAGAGTGTGTGTGTCTGTGAGAGTGTGTGTGTGTATATATATATATATATACACACACACACACGCGCGGCGTGTGTTTGTGCTTTAGGGTGCACACCCTAATGCAATAGGCTGCGCACGCCTATGCCCTTATACTCCCCTGCACCCACTAATCCCCTACTCCACTGCACCCACGGTCTACCCTACTGACATCTACTACAGTACCCATCCCTCCCCTGCAGCCGATGACAAGTTTCCAAATGGCTGCATTTTCCGAAACTGGTATTAAAAATGGTTTCTAAGAAAATTAAAAAGTGGCCCCACATTTATTCTTGCACCTGAACCCACAAACACTAAAGCTGGTCCTGGTCATTGGTCCCTGGTAACGAAGTAAAAGGGATGGTCCATGTAGTGGGACACCTCACCCTGTTACTGCTACAATCACATTGACATAGGTATTCAGACCCTTTGCTATGACACTTGAAAATGTAGCTCACATGCATCCAATTTCGCTTTATGGCAGACTGTCATACGGAAGTCTCTCCTCACTGCAAGGGCTCTCGGACTGTGAGAAACCAGATGGTTTAATGAAATGAAGATTGAACTGTTTGGTCTCAGTTCAAACCGTCATGTCGGGAGAAAACCAGGCACAGCTCTTTGCCTATGCAGTACTGTCCCAATAATGAATCATGTTGGTGGTAGCCTCATGCTGTAGGGGTGTTTTCCAGTGGCAGGTACTGGGAGACTGATAAGGGTTAAGGGAAAGCTGAACACCACAATATACAGAGATATCCTTAATGAAATCCTGGTCTTGAATTTCAGAATCTCAGATAGGGCAAAGGTTCACCTTCCAACAGGATAACCCCAAGTACACAGTGGCTTCTGGACAACTCTGTAAAAATTATTGAGTGGCCCAGACAGAGCTTGAACTTGAACCCAATCAAACCTCTCTTGAGAGACCAGAAAATGTCTATCCACTGATGCTCATGGCATTGTGATAGTTGTTTTTTTGTTTGTTTAATATATTTGCAGTGGTGCCAAAAATCTGTTTTTTGTTTTGTCATTATGGGCTAATAAAAATTATAATGTTCTGTCTGCATTACCATCATATGAAAATATGTGCAAAATACAGACAGACATATTGGGGACTAGGAACATTGAACCAATAGCTGACATTGTGATACACAATGTCTATGTGACTGATTGTGGTTCTGTTACAGTGATATTTCAGGGTTTTTTCTTTGATTGAGTGTGCAGATCGATCTCACCTGCATCCTGGTTATAACAGATGTCACAAACACCAAATACGATTTGCTGAGAGACTCAAAATTATCTTTTTTATGTATATACAGTTTTAAACTAATATTTATATTACGGTATATATTAATTAATAAAGAAGATCCACCGTGGAATGTCACTTTATGTATATCTACATTCTTGCCAAAGTAATGTACACAGAATTGTTTTTAGAATTTTACTGTCTTTAATGCTATTTTCACAGTTTGTGCTTTTTGTACGGCGTCAAGCAAGTCTGACATAATTAGCACTCTGATCAGCTGATCTATAATTGCTACTGGTGTTGAATTTGCATGTCTCCGAGTTCTCCAGAGATTCAGAGCCTGAAGGATTTTTTCCTGGAGTTGAAGAGATCTGAAATGGACACAATGTTACGTGGATTTACATAAGTCTTTGGATTCAACTCAACAAAAAATGTGAATGATCATGTAAAACTATCTACTCCAATAATTCTCATATTGGCAGTTATCCCATTCAACTGGCAATGGAATGATTGCAACTAAGCAAAGCACAGTAAACGTATCCACCTTTTGATGTGGTGCTGGTAAACTAGACTATTTCCATATACCTAAACTAAGAAAGCAACCTGCTACTAAAACAACAAATGGGTTTATTAGTATAATGTACCATTTATTTATTTTTTTTAACGTTTGTTCAAAAAAGAAGGCTAATGAGTACTAAGCATATATACTTCATAAACTGGCCAATAATACGTTGGTGCCTAAAAAGCCTCCCAGTAAGTAAGCAGGGTTCTATCTACGGACGTTTTTATACCCCTAATGATAACTACAACGCTATTTCTATCATCAACTGCAGCCTCTGTCACTACGATACTGTCATCTTACAATTCCATACCTCACAACGGTGGAAAACCACCATTTTCCCCAGGATGGTTTACCCACATCTGAGGACACAAGAAAGAAGTCCCCAGAAATTGCAGTGGAAGCATGTTATTAGAAGTTCAACTGCCTGAACTCGCAACATCCTGCTCATTACAATGTACGCTCAAAGTGCTCTGCATGTGGGCAACCAAGCAGGGCAGGTTGGGATGTGAATGCTGTTGATACCATACCTACTAAGGCACCTCCCATCCTGGTTACGTGCCTCCCAAAATTGGAAGATAAGCAACACTAATGTCATGCACAAAGACAAAACGGAGTTAAAACATGAAATCCTTACTTGTTTTTTGAAAACACTTTGATTTCTTCATCTTTAAGTTGAAGCTTCTTGCAGAAAAATATGAAATCGTCTAAGGGAACATTACAGGACACTATACTAAACATCTTTTGCATGATTTTCTCTAAAAGAAGGGGGAAAAAATCCATTCATTATTTGGGATCATGCACACATCTATTTGTATCAATAGTTAGGAAGTTAAGTTAGTCTATGTACAAAAACATTGGAATTTAACTTTCTATATATGTGAGTACAGTTTTTAATGTCAACATTTTTTTATGTGTCCAGTTGATAAGGGTGAGCAACTAGTTTGGTATGCCACCTGACCTCATTGGTTATAAAGTTTACAGATTCATATTTCCAGATCTTCCCACCTGGTCACACTACCAGAACCACAGGTAGGAAAGGGGTAATATGTGGACATGATTGGATACAAAAACACAAGAGAGAGGTTGGGACACAAGGAGAGAGGGAATATTGAGGAACGAAACATGGTAGTGGGAGATAGGGAAGAGAAACAGGAAAGCGGGAAGATACGGAGCCAGACACAAGGGGAGTAAGAGAAGATTAGGGTACAGGGCAGGATTAAGTGAGGGGAGCTGGGGAGAGAGATGCATTAGTATTAATTAATACTGATGTATGTGCACATGCATACATTTATATGACACCAAAAATTTGCACAACTTTTATAAATAGGTTGTGTATAAATCTCACACATGAGCGTTTGTTATGATCCTTTAAGAATGCAGTGAATTAATGATCATTAAACATGAAACATAGGAGAGACTTTTAGAAGTGATACGATTTGTTACTTACCATCCCTAAGGTCAGACCCCTGTAAGTAACGACCAATAGGATACAGACGTTTTCCTTCACATACAAGGAGTGGAGGTTTGAGCATTGGATTACTATCAACGTTTATCTCTTTCAGATTATGGAGCCGATGCATGTCGGTGGGCAAACATGCCAGTTTGTTTCCTGTCAGTACATAAAATATTTGCATGTTACACACATCATGCTACGTTATTAATACACAGATTTAATGGCTAACCCAAATGGATGTCAAACCTCCCAGATCAAGTTTTAGTACAGCCATACCCACTTTCTCATCTCCCATCCTTAGCAATGTATCTAGCCCACTTTCTCCATATTTTCGTTATTCAAGTATATCTCCTCCTGGTCCAATATGGAAATTATTTTTTCCAGTTCAAATAATTTGACCCTAAATTTTGCGACCTTGTGGTCAATGAAGTTCAATTCACTATTTAGTAAACAAACTCCTTGGACCTTTTGTGGCCAAAAGCCATGCTTATTTCTCTCGGACATTTGTTTTCAAATTAATTCACATGAAACATTTTTGCAGTGCTTATAAGAAGTATAAGCATAATAGGAGATATGCCCCTTGTAATTGAGGAGACAAATTAACCTATTTTTATAGTTTTACCTCCTCTAGTGTAGCTTGCAGACAAAGTTTCTACAGGTTGATACAAATATGTGTGGCATGCTATGTAATAATGCATTTCCTTAGACAGTAGATTATCATCTGCCTTGAAGACAATGTTGGTGGATATTCCATTTTGGCAGGTAAATTTAATCCACATTCTTCGTATTATCTTTGTCTATTTCATGGATGGCATGGGTGGAGGTGCAGAAGGTTGGGGATTGTAAAGTTTGTATGATGGTATGGGATAGGAGGGGGGAGGGTTAAGAGCTCATGAAATGCTGAGGGGATGGTATGGGAAGGAAAGGAAGAATAAGAGAAGATGAGAAGGGAATAGGATACATGATGGTCTGTGAAGAAGACACATTTCCTGGACGGGGTGGTGGGGTAAGAACGTTTGGGGTGGTAAAGTTGGTATGATGGCATGGAATAAGAGGAGGGTTAAGAGCTCATAAAATGAGGAGGCGATCAGGAGGGACTGGGATACATGATGGTAATGGGAAGAAGACACACGTTTCTGTGTTTAGAACCAGAAGGAAAGGAAAATATTGCTGCATTCTCCACTTCTCGTCATGGGCCTTTGTTCAATAAAAATTAAAACTAATGTAGGAAAATGGATGGTCTGCAGCTAGACTGGCCCTGTGGCCAAGAGAGAGTATACCTGAGCATGTTTGAACCCTTGAGGTGTGGACCTACCATGCCTTATAATAACATCGATACTGTCAGTTATAAAGCGTTCATGATCATTAAATGTAGTTATTACAAGTTGAACTACCTGAACCTGGTGCTTTCTGGTTTTAATACACATGTATAAATATACAGAAAAGCAAAGGAGCAGACTAGTTGCACATGAGTGCACTATTCCTGCCTGGTTGTAAGGTGATCCCTTCCCTTACTATCAACCACGTATGAATATTATAAAAGATGTATCAAGTGTCAATATGTACAATGAATATGTAAACCTGTTATCCTGTCCATTAAATGCAGTAACTAGCAAGGTGTAGAAAAATATTAAATCGGTACGTGGTGAAATACCCTCAGGCTTTAACCCCTTAAGGACACATGACATGTGTGACATGTCATGATTCCCTTTTATTCCAGAAGTTTGGTCCTTAAGGGGTTAATCACATCCACCAGCTGAACATCTAAAAATAATCCAAAAACCACAGTCTATTTCCAGAAAACAATGAGTATCTAAAAAAGTTATACTTGGGAAGAGGTTGAAATGGTCTATAGGATGACAGGCTGCAACTAAATAAATGTACTTTTTCATTCAATTTAAGTCTCTCTGCCACCATAGAAATTCCATAATAAGGTTATTATGATGGTGGTGATTTAAACGCATTTCCCCTAAAGTAAATGGTTAATAAAGCACTTTATGAGATTAGTTGCAAAACCAAAATCCTGATATAGATACACAATAATAAGGAAGGACAAATAGTAAATCACCTTGGATGTGAGTGTAAAGACACCAAACCTACATACCTGCCCTCTCTCCATTATAAACTAAGGATATGATAGTAGAGGATAATTATAGTTAAAAGTGCATATTGTGCAAAGGTGCAAGCGAGGCAAAAAAACAAGCTTATTTTACATACTGACACGATATATCTTTCATAATATTTTATGTTTGATAGTAAGGGATCAGCTTACTAGGGTTAGGCCGTCAGACAGCCCTGGTTTGGCTATCTGGCATAGCTTGCTAGTTTTTGTTTATAAGCTCACCCTATGGTTGCATATAAATATGTGATCATTTTTTCTGCTTCACGTGACATATTTATGTATATTGGGGCTTTTTAAATCACAGTAAGATCATTTCCACTTGCCTTTCAGATTGATTTCTTGAAGGCCAGTCATGAAGACAATGGATTGGGGAAGAACAGTAAGTTGATTGTTAGATGCTGATATTCGAAACAAGTTCTTCATTTCCCCAATGCTGTTTGGCATGTACTTCAAAGCATTGTCCGATACATCAAGTTCCATTAAATTAACCAGATTACACAACTCTTGCGGGAGAGACGTTAACTGTAAACAGAATGTATGGTTACTATATATCATAGTACTATGTTTCATACACAGTTTCTGTTTATAGTCTGTACAAAATACAGTATCTAGAATTATATGTTTGTAAAATAACATTGAATGTGTCCTATATGTTGGAATCAAATTGGATCAAAAATTGATCCAATAAATCTGCTTTTTTTGAACCCTGTGAGTTCCTGAAGCCCCCTTTTCTATATACCATTTGCTAAGGATTTGCTGGTCCTGTGGTTTCCACAGATTGAATAGGGTTCCCCTTTCTCTTGTGTGATAACCTCCTTGAAGAGTGAAGATGCCCAGATCTAACCCAAAGGTACATCTCACAAATAGTGATGTCCCGAACAGTTCGCCACGGACGGCGAACATATGCGGTAAACTTTGACCCTGTACCTCACAGTCAGCAGACACATTTCAGCCAATCAGCAGCAGACCCTCCCTCCCAGACCCTCCCACCTCCTGGACAGCTGACTAAGAATGCAGCTTCACAATGGATGCTGTCCAGGAGGTGGGAGGGTCTGGGAGGGAGGGTCTGCTGCTGATTGGCTGGAATGTGTCTGCTGACTGTGAGGTACAGGGTCAAAGTTTACCGCATATGTTCGCCATCCGCTGCGAACCGTTCGGCGAACCGTTCGGGACATCACTAGTCACAACCCAAACTATGGTTTCTAACTGCAATCACTGTGGATGCTCTCTGCCTTTCTGAAATTAACGGGAGTTACTGTCCACACTATCTTGAGCAGCCCTTAATGGCACCATTAAAACAGGACTGGTAGGTGGTATTTTTCTGATTCTGTTCTTTGATATACGAAGCACAATGGCAAAGCTAATATTTTGTCCTTTCGACATGACAGCATGTCTAAATCACTCTTTGAATTGGGTACAACACGGGTATGAACATCTTTGTAATTAAATAAACTGAAAATGAAAACTATTTTAAATTACATGTACATTATTGATACAATTTGTATGGTGTAAGTGATACCTAAAATTATAAATTCATTTTGTCTAGTCAAAACCAAAAAAACAACTGATCCCAGATTGAGATAGTGCTGCCATCTACTGGTACTAGTGTAAAAATGTGTGTGTGTATATATATATTTTTTTTTTACTTGTTGGCCTACCTTTATCAGTACTGTTGGTAACTAAACTCCAAAGTTGTTATAGTTCCCCTGAGTTTAAATTCTATTAACAAGATCTAACCATAACTAAGAGTCTACTCACTCAATGCCGAATTGTAACAGAACAGCAAATAAAGTTGCCATAATTAGGTTTTACCTGAATGTTACCCATTCAGCTATTTATAAAAGGCATATTCCATCATTTCAGTTGAATTTATGCTTCCTTTCACCTGCAGTTTAGTTGTCTGTTTAAATCAGCCACATCTTCATGTAACTTGATTGATTCAACTATTCACAAATGCAGTGAATACATATCAGAGCTCCCTTCATACCAATGCAGAGAATTACACCTATAAGTCAAAGCCACCCCATTGCTGCTCACAACCCCCCTTATAATAGCAATACCGCAACCCTAAATCCCGCCTAACCCTTACTTCAGCCTTGGCTTTAACAGGTAATTCTGTTGCTGTCAAGTTAATTTCCAACATATGTCACTGCAACAATTAGCAGGGATCCATTCAGCTAAGATCAGTAAGCCTTCAGCTGATAGTAAACCCTGTAAACCTAACCTAATTAACCTATCCAATTAAGAAAATAAAAAGTGAGGGTCAATTTCTGTGCTCTTTTATATATGAATTCACCCAAACTGCATCAAGCATCGACTGCTTGGCATAGTAGCTATAACCTTGCATTTACTGAATAGATTGATATAGTTCTTAAAACTGTATCATAATGGACATCTTGGGAGGACTGGCAAGGCATGGATTTCATCCTAGGCCATTAATGTTCTGGGATTGTGATCAGCACCCTCAAAGCACAATTCCAACCAATTCCATTGGTTTAACTTGTGATGTATGCTTAATGTATTTGCAGAAGCATCTACTTATGTACTGACCATAAATTTGTAATAATGATCATCATAACTCACTGGTTAGTAAAGAAACATAACTAAGTGTGCAAACTCATGCGCATGTTTCGTATAACATGATATAAAATAAATAATAACAAAAAATGCCCATTGTTTACCTTAATTCCATTCTCCTGACTTATTTTCAGTATTTCCAGCGATCCAACAGAACATATTTGAATAGGAAACTTTTTAAAATGATTGTTGGAGAGATTCAGTTCTTTGAGTCCCTGTAGTTGACAGATTGCTGCAGGAAGAGTGTGCAACAGATTTTTTGAAAGATCAACTTTTTGAAGATTTTTTACAGTGCACAATTCAGGTGGGATAGTTGTTAAACTATTAGAATCTAGAAGAAGCTCACAGAGGGACCCCATATTACACACCTCTGTAGGTATCTGGCTAATATCGTTTTTGCTAAGGTCCAGGAAGACAAGGTTTCGAAGAGAGCAGATTTGCACAGAGAACTCTTTTAGTTTATTCTTACTCAATGCCAAATGTTTTAGTTTCTTTATGTATACTATACTTTTAGGGACTTCCGTAATTTCGTTTTGGTTAAGGATTAAGAACAACAGCTCAGCTATTGAAAATAACACTTGAGGAATCTCGGACAGTTTGTTACCACTGAAGTCCAGCTTGGTTATTTGTGTACAGTTTTTCAATTCAATAGGAACATTTGTCAAATCATTCTCCGTGCACGAAATCACCAACAAATTTTTCAGATGAGCCAATTGCTCAGGTAGAATTCCCAGCGCGTTTCGGTCAATGTGCAGTTCTCTCAAATTCTTTAATTTGTGAAGTCTTGTGGGGAGAGAGCTTAATTGATTGCCACTCAGGAACAAATATTCTATGAAGAAACAGTTGCATACTTTCTCTGTGAGACTTGTAAGTAGGTTATTGGCAACTGAAAGGACTTTAAGCTGTTGCAAATTTTCAACCATATCTGATATTTCGGTGAGTTTGTTGTTATCTACAGCAAGCTCTTCAAGATTAATTAGGTTATACAACTGCATTGGCAAAAATGTAAGCTGGTTGTTACTCAGTGAAAGCTCTCGAAGATTCTTTAGATTCACCATTTCCTTTGGCAAACTTTTTATTCCATTTCCAGATAGGCAAAGCTTGACTAAATGTAAAAGTTTAAACATTGGTTTTGGCAATACAGAAATCTGATTGCTTTGAAGATTAAGAACATGCAAGTTCTTAAGTTTGGCCACTGATTCTGGTAGAGTTTTCAAGGAGTTCTCACTTAAACTCAATATCTGCATGGTTGTGAGGTCCCCAATTGTTGTTGGTAATTGGGTGAGATTATTGTGACTAGCAAAAAGTTGCTTGATAGTTTTCAAATGTGCTATCTCTTCCGGAAGTCGTTGTATCTGGTTATGGCTTATGTTCAATGCTTGGAGTTGTGAAAGATGACCAATTTCAGGCGGCAAGTATGTCAAGCCATTTCCTTCAATGGACAATATTTCTAGATTTAAAAGGCTAGCCACCTCTTTTGGCAAGGTCCTTATTGAATTGTTGTCTAGCCGCAGACATTTTAAATGTTTGTTCTCAAAGATATAAGATGGTATTTCATTCAACCCTTTATTGTTAAGAATGGTGGTGGTTGTAACACAGTCTGTTTCTGTTAACATTGTCATTGGTTAGTCTTCAAATCCAGACGAAATGCATTACCTTTATGTGTGCAGTCTTCTCCAGAATCTACAAAATGTACAAATAATTGCATCTTTGTTACTGAAGTGCAAGTGTTATGCAAAACAAAAACAAAAAACATTGGTTCCTCCAAACATCATGACCACTTCACTGGTCTGAAGTGGCCATGGTTCCTGGAGTCTTACGTGCATCATTTCGCTATGTGGAGTTTGATCGCTTTGCTGTTGGAGGTGTAAATGCAAATCTGGCAGCGTCATTGGAAATCAATAGCCGACCCAGAACTGAAAATTAAATGGCCGTTGGGATCTGCATGTGGCTGCTGCAGCTCTGCAGAAGATGGAAGCACATCAACGGCCATATAGGACCCGGGGTGCCCAGCAGGTAACCATGTAACAAAAAAAGGGGGGAAACGGGGCTACTGTACTCCTGTCTGCATAACCACTATAGTAGGCTGTACTGTTTATAATGCTTGGAGTGGCCCCTTAAATGACAGAGGAATACAATGTGAAATATGGCAGATATATGGCTGGCAATCTGTATACTAAAGGCATTGGTCTATATTTAAAAGCAAAGTTACTGAAATAGTGTTTGCATCAAATATATATATACATTTTAGCAGTACACGATTATAATAAAATAAGTTATCATACTGATATGCCGAGAGACGTGATGAGGCGCTCTCCTAACATATGAAATAATGGGAGAGGAACATAATTAATTACTTGAATCAATCAAGAAGAATGATCAGTCCTTAGCATATCTGAGTTTAACAGAAAATCCCAGAGATGAAAAACATTAGAGAGCTTTAAGAGCTGCAAAATCAAAACACAAGTCAAGGTACCAGAAATAATATATAAAAAATGAGTCGATTCAAAATTTAGGGAATCCACAAAGCAGAAGAGGCTAAATAAGCCAAGTAAAAATTAGTCCAAACACCAACATAAACAGGAATTCGAAAAAGCCAGCACCTCTAAGAGGGTTATTTTTACTAAAGTGCAAAAAAAGTGAATTTCAAATTGAAAGAGGAACTGACACTTCTCTGAAATCTAAATAATTGAATAAAACATTGAAACTCACTCACCTGTAACTTCTTAACCTTTGTTTTCTCATTATATACTCATATTTATTCTACATTTATATCTGCCTTGTGATAATCCAGTTCAGAAAAGGAAAACCGGGGCAAAAATTGCAACGATGAGCAGAAATATAAACCAGCGCAATCAAAGGACAGAGATTATTTAACAATGATTGAAAGGGAGCTAAGATGGAGGCGCCCAGTTGTAAGATCTAGAGATATTTGTACATATAGTTTTATTTTCCACTCCTCACAAATATATATCTGTTAAAAATAGGGTTAAAGGACATCTGTCGCCTCAAATAATTTTTTATTTTTAAATTATATAATAATCCTTTCAAGTTTTAAAAGGTGATATATATATATATATATATATTTTTTTTAATGTTTTAAAATATTAAGATAAACATATCCCTACCATTAGTAGATGACAGGATCCTTCTGCCACATACAAACACCTTGTGTCAGACAGTGTTTGAAAACCGACTGTTAGTCTCTGTGCAGGGAAGCAGGGAAGACAGACACAGAGACAGAGACAGAGACATGCACGGCTATTACTAAAGTTAGAATTCAAACTGAATTTTACATTTGGGGTCAGATTAGCTGAACTGGAAGCATTGATGATTTAGATAACTGTTCCACTACAGCTGTTTTTACCTTGAATTTGAAATTCAGCTTAAATTCTCATTTTAAGTGAATACTTTGTAACTGTCGGTTTCCAAACACTGTCTGACGCAAACTGCATGTGTATGGCTGAAGAGTCATGTCATATACTAAAGGCGGGGATGAGTTTTTCTAATTTTTTACATATACTTTATTAAAAATAAATCCACTTCAGTTCAAAACTTGGTGTAGGGATAATTATATTGACAGGTTCTCTTATGCCAAAATAGATCTGGAATCATAGCGGACTTGGGGAACGAGTTGACCATTATTGAATTCGCAATTTTGTCAAATTTGAAATCACTAAGGACACATGACATGTGTGACATGTCATGATTCCCTTTTATTCCCGAAGTTTGGTCCTTAAGGGGTTAAATTCCCAGCAATACTCAATTTAGTAAAAAGCTGTAAGTGACCCGTGTCACTCCTGTATCATCAAATCTCTACTTCCCATGTGCAGGACATATGCATTGCAATGCAACCATTAAGACCCTCAGGGTTATTTAATAAAATGAGAATTCCAAGTGAATTTCAAATTGAACCCCAGATTAGCTATATTGGAAGCTGTCTGACTGATGATTTCCCGTTTGGTTATTTAGACCTTAAATTTGAAATTCACCATGAATCCTTACTTTAGTGGAGAGCCTTGCATTATTACCACTGAACGCATAAATATGTGAGACACAAGGAAGCACTTGGTGTCAGGATTGATGCCAGGAGGGTTTAAGATGACATTATTCACAGGATTAACGCTAACTGGAATCGCACTGTGCAATATGCCAGTTTAAAATGTAAAACATTATCTCACCTTTGAAATAAAAAAGCAGAATACTATATTTAAATTGTGTATTCCAACTCCAAACTGCATGGTGGGTGACATCACCTTCTTTTATCTTAAAACCGGCATGCGCATTCAGACGATGATGACCAAAGAAGGAGGAGAGTTCCCAGCGCTGAGGGAGCCCGGCGCTGGAGAAAGGTGAGTGTTTAACCCCCTTCCTCCCCCTTTAGCCCGGCGGGAGTGGGACCCTGAGGGTGGGGGTACCCTCAGGGCACTATAGTGGTCCTTTAAGGGAAAGTAGATATTTATCTGTAGATATTTATTAAACATTTGACCCGTTTATGTTTCTTTTTTTTTAAGATGTCACCAGAGCCCCTTGGATGGCATTACATTCCCATAATACACAGTTATTATCGGCATTCTTATAACACTAATATATTCTGCAGCACTGTATAATAATGGAAATGGGATATTTAGGGGAGAAAAAAGTACGGCACAAACAAGTTTACAATCTATGAGCTCACACATAAAGCCTCCGTCTCCACCAAATTCCAAGAAACAGGATATAAAATGCTCTCCCACTGGTACAGGACACCGGAAAAACTTAGCATGATGAAAACCACAAATGACCCGGAATGCTGGAGATGCGGGAGAGAACTGGGATCCCTCTTCCACATATGGTGGTCCTGCCCCCTTATCCAGCCCTTTTGGGCAGAGATCCACAAGATACTCACAACCATAACAGAAGCAAACCTACCCCTCTCACCAGACACATACCTGCTCCAACTTACACAGACCCCAATCAACAAATTTAAAAAAACAGCACTCCCACACCTAATAAACGCAGCCCGCAGCCTCATCCCGAGACACTGGAAACAACACATGGCCCCGACCATCAGAGAATGGATAACGAGAGTGGAAGACATCAGACGCATCGAGGAACTCATCCACTCCGCAACGGGACGCATACAACGTTACCATGATGCATGGTACCACTGGCTCCAATGGCTCGCCTCCACCGCACCAATTATGGGGACCACACAATACCTGACAGCAGAGGCAGATGGGACGGTCCAGACGGAACAGACGGACGACAATACGGAAGCTGAACCACCGACCCAACCAAACCAAGACGACCACTCAGAGCCTGAGATGCCCCTTGCCCCGGAGGCGGGGGGGTTGAGGTGGGGACCCGGGACCTGACACCCCACCCCCTACCCTCCCGCACCTTACCCTCACCCGCAATGCCCTCACCCCATTAACCTACACTCCCATCCCACCCGCCCCCCACAACACACGTTAAAATACATGACCAACTGCCGACAGGCTGCCTTGAGAATGCCACCTACACTCGCAGAAACGCCACCTCCCTTACAGGACAGACCATACACCACAGCACCCACAAAGACCCACCATGACCAACACATATCGGACAGGGGATGAACCAACCCAACAAGACTGTCCAAACGCCCAACACTCAAGTGCACTACACCACGATACCAGAACCCACCCAACCCTCACAACCCGGGACAGCACCCGCTCGACCAATACACCCCCGACACTAATAGGATCCCCAAACAGACACAGAAAGACACCAACACAGAAGGGACACCCCAACAAGACTACACCCCGACGCATGACACACACACAGCCACCGCCCACACACATCAAAGAACAGCGACTAGCGCAAAGGGGACACCCACAACAAACGCGCACACAGGACAAAAACTACCTGACGGACCCTCGACCCCCAAACGCCCCACTACTCGACAACCACTCCCTACCCCCCACCCCAACGGATCAGTAGAGACGCTCTCAGGAAGCAGGGCTAGACAAGGTCACAGCAGGAGCACTAAAGTTTCTGCCTTATCGCAGTTTATCTGCTTCCCAACACAAACATACCAATTAATAAAATGACTGAATCTGAGTGTTCTCTATAGCTTTCATGTCTAAAACTTGTGAGAATGGCGAAAATATTCTCTTTCTATTTTTCTAAGACTAGTTCCTTCTTGAAAACTGTCAATGCTGAAAGATGTTGCAATGTAGGAATGGAATCAGATGCTCGCTGTTGCTTTGTAAAATTGCTCTCTTCACATAAATACTAAAGATACCTTTATACCAAATGAACAATAACTGACATGTACACTATTTTTGCCACCTTCTGTATTGATGCATATAACTTTGTATTGCCAATTGTTATGATGTCAATAAAAGCAAATTGAATGAAAAAAAACAAAAAAAAAAAAACAATCTATGAGGATTTGAGGTTGGTGGATACGTTTACACTAGGGACACTTACTGCTGAGATGGACTGGCCACAATTTGTACCAACCATGCTCTAAACCAGCAGATATATATTTGTTTAATTCTGGTTATACTATAAGTTCACGTTTCTTTTTTGATTAATAAGAATTCCCACTTGTAATAATCAGAATGTAGCCGGGACTGACTCCTTTTTCTGCTCATTAATCATCCTCCAGGTAATTAGGGGTCCTTAGAACCTCTAATATTTAATCTTAACTCCTCTGTCACTAGGTGAATACATAGAAGGGTCAATCCAGAGGGTCTTGAGAACGCCACAACCTCATTAATCCAGAACAGAAACCTGTGAGACAACCCATACAGGTTACCAAATACTTGACTAACTGGCCATAAAACTACATGCAGTGTTAAAATGATGCTGGGGTATAGCAATATACCCAGCACTATATGTTTAGAAGCTGTTACAGAGTTTAGGGTTAGGAAGCATAGGTTTAGATAGAGTATGTGTCTTTGAGTGTGTGTCAAAGTTAAAGAGTACCAGGTTTCAGAGTGCTATGGACTGCAAATTCCCATCACATTCAGCCAGCCTGGGGGCAGGGACAGTGCTTCCAACACACCAAGCTCTAGATTACATTACTCCAGCCTATGCATGTCTTATGTAACTTTTTATGGTCTTTCTGGCAATTTACAAGCAGAGGTAGTGCATGTGAAGCAATAACCTCATGTTACCATGGTGATAGGCACAAGACCCCCCACCATTTCCCCCAACTCACCGAATTTGTCCAGGTAAAAACTCAGATCATCAGGTATTCCAGCCTCTTAGTCAGAATATTCCTGGACATCAGCAAAGACTGAAATCACTGACAGAACTGCAGCTCTGTATATCTATATATTTAGTGAATACAATCATTGTTTCCACACACAAGCAGAAGACATGTCACTATGGTGATCTGTACATATGCACTCCTGAGATAAAAGGACACAGTCAGTGTGGTCAGCAAGCTTTGATGAGGGAGCAGGAATTGACTTGTTCTGGGCCCAGCCCAGGTGACACATTCCTAACATGGGACATAAAGTGACACCTTGTGATTTACTTAGCACTGTTTGATTAGTTATACCTGGCTGCAATGCCAATCACAGCAATGCAGGTTACACCATGGAGCAGTTTACCAGGCTATTAAAGAATCACAGGAACTAGCTGAGCAGGAAATAAATTAATATAGAACTTTCTTCTCTGGTAGATACAGCTAAAATCCATTTATTTAAATCCTTTGCCTGGCAACACAGAGGTGTTAAGAAATATGCTGGAATTGGGGAAGCTCAGCTGTTGAGTATTAACCCCTTAAGGACTGAGCCAAATGTACACGTTTTGATCAAAGCAGAACGTAAACAAAAACTGGAATTTGCGCTATATGTCTGTCCAAGCGTAATTCACCTCTTTCTTATTATGTGCACCCACACTTATTATACATCATTTTATTCAGGGGAAACAGGGCTTTCATTTAACATCAACTATTTAGCTATCAAACATAATTTAATATGAATAAAATATAAAAACAATGGGAGAAAATAAGAATTTTAAAAAATATTTTTAGTTCTTCTAAGTGACATTTTAACTGTGAATGTCATAATACTGTTTGCTTTTACTGCAACTTACACATATATTTGGATACAGCCATGTCTCACGTGTAAAACAGTACCCCCTATGTACAGGTTTTATGGTGTTTTGGGAAGTTACAGTGTCAAATATAGCATGTTACACTTTTCAGTTTTTTCACATTGAAATTCGCCAGATTGGTTATGTTGCCTTTGAGACCGTATGTTAGCCCAGGAATGAGAATTACCCCCGTGATGGCATACCATTTGCAATAGTGGACAACCATAGGTATTGCAAATGGGGTATGTCCTGTCTTTTTTAATAGCCACTTAGTGACAAACACTAGCCAAATTTAGCGTTAATATTTGTTTGTGTGTGAAAAATGCAAAAAAACCTAATTTGAACGCCAATTTTGGCTACTAAAAAACACTAGACATACCCCATTTGCAATACCTTGGGTTGTCTACTATTGCAACTAGTATGCAATCATAGGGTTAATTTTCATTCTTGGGCTACCATACGGTCTCGAAGGCAACATAACCAATCTGGTGAATTTTAATGTGAAAAAACTGAAACGCAAGCCTTATATTTGCCTCTGTAACTTTTGAAAACACCTTAAAACCTGTACAGGGTTTTCATATCACATTATATATATTATATATATATATATATATATATATATATATATATATATATAATTTTATTTGAATAAAATCTGAAAAAAGTGTGAGAAATTAAGAACTGTTATTTTTCAAGTTCTGCATGACATTTAACTATGAACGTCATAACACTTACCTTTAATTGCAATAAAACACACACTTGTATTCAGCAATGTTTCACTTGTACAGTGCCCCCAGTACCAGTACCAGTACCCCCTATGTACAGGTTTTATGGGGTTTTGGAAACTTACAGGGCTTTCTCCTTTTCCATTTTTGCACATTTAAATTTTCCAGATTAGTTTATTGGCCCTATGTTGCCTTTGAGACCTTATGGCAACCCAGGAATGGAAAATTAACCCCGTCATGGTATGCCATTTGGAAAAGTCAACAACCCAGAATATTTAAGATGGGGTGTCTTTTTTTTTTTTTAGTAGCCACTTGGTCACAAACCCTAGCCAAAGTTAGCTTTCATATTTTTCCTTACACAAAAACGGCACATTCACTGATGATATTATTGTCATCATACATTTTAGTGTTTTAAAATGTATTTCATATTTCTCTTTAGTGAAGTCTCTCCAGTACAACACCCCCATGTACAGATTGTACGGTATTTTGAAAAGTTACAGGGTCAGTATACGGCTTGCCCATTTCAGTTTGCCAGATTGGTTTGCTGAGCCTATGTTGCCTTTTGAGACCAAATGATAGTCCAAAAAATGTAAATTACCCCCCACATGGCGTACCATTTGCAAATATAGACAACCCAGGGTATTCAAAATGGGGTATGCTCAGTCTTTTTTAAGTAGCCATTTAGTCACAAACCCTAGCATTCATATTTTTTTGCATTTTTTTACACAAAAACTGCACATTCATTGATGATATGATGATCATCATACATTTTACCATTTTAAAACACTCATAGTTCTGTTCAGTAAAGTCTCACGTGTACCACAATACCCCCAAGGTATTAATATTGTGTTTTGGAAATTTACAGGGTCAAATATAGGGCTTGCAAATTCATTGTCTGGGTTGTTAAGCAGGACCCTCAGATTATAATTAATAAAAATTGCTTAATTATGTTCATCTATCCGATATATATACATGTAGAATATATATATATACATACACACATATATTTATATTTATTTACATTTACATACATATACAGAGAGAATCCACAAGTAAGGCTGCACTCCACGGTCTTCTTAAAAATCAAAGTACTTTATTTGGTATACATTAAAATGATCAACATTTCAGCCCCACGTTGGAGATTGCCGGTCTGGATAAGTGCAGAGCTTGGACGTTCTATGCTGCTCTGTTAAAGAGGTTAAAGGAGAATTGCTGCTTTCCGATGGATCTGGAACCTGAAGTATTCTAACCTGCATCAATTTGAGATTAATGAAATGCCTGTACAGCAGCATGTCAAATTCGAGGCCCAGCAAGCCGTGAGTAGATGCTTACGGTTAAGGCAGAGTAGGCATCTGCTCTCCCTACATTGCAGGTGCCTACTCTGCTAAAATTTACCAGGTGTAGAGGAAGCAGGAAGTTGGCGGCATCGAGCGCAGTCTGTTCTTCCTCACGGTTCACGCCAGCCCGGCATCACTAAACTGGAGCAGGAAGGGAGACCTCCAGAGAGAAGATCCCCACTGGACCCCAGGGAGAGGCACCACACCAGCTCCCAAAGGTAGGGAGCCATAGCAATAAATAAAATGATTTGTGAGTGTGTGCAAGAATGTGTAAATGTGTGTCTGTCCGTGAGTTTGTGTGTGTGTGTGTCTGTCAGTGAGTGTGTTTTGGTCAGTGGAGGACCTGGAGGTGCACGGAGGCACGCAACGCCATGTCACATTCTGACATGACGTTTATGTGCTCCACTTTCACAGGATTTCAAGGAGTAGCGAGAGAATCTGCTTTGGCACAGGGTGCGGACGGCGCCATTGGGGTTATACCAGAGGCTGGACTCCGGAGTTGCATACTGGCAGCAGTAATGTGAGTGGAGTCTGCTTGTTGGCTGATAGTGGTTTTTTTTTGTTTTTTTTAAACATGAGCAGGGGTTTAATAGAGGGGGGTACTGGGATTTAGAAGAGGGCCGAGGGGGAGACTGGGATTTAGTAGTGGAGGGTGCTGGGGTTTAGTAGAGCAGGATGTTGGGGGGTTTTTATACTGCACTTTTCAAAATAAACCTACGTTTTATGAAAATTTAAGTTAAACTTTGTTTATTTGGCCCGTGTTAGCCTTTGAGTTTGACATGCATGCTGTACAGTCTTGAGCCAACTTCTAACTGGCTCTTGAATTTGTGAGTGTTCCAAGTTGTCTCACCATTCTGATTTATATGTACTCACCGTGATGTTTTCCATTTTTTATTTTTTTTATAATTCTTTATTTATGTCAAGGTTCGACACCACAGCAAGGTATACAACACAATTCAGATGCTTCCATTAACACGTATACATATAATCGGAAGCTAGTGTCAGTAAAGTTATGTATTTTCATAAAAAACAGCCTGTAACAATTAAACAACCCATGTCTTGTGAACTCGAAAAGTCCTTAAATAGTGGCGTCGCCCCCGTTTTTAATTTTATTTCATATATGTGCGCCTCTTTTAGCCTCTACGCGTGTATAACCTGGGTAGCGAGTACAAGCCATTCAGAACACTCACTTATGTTAACAGATACAGCACATTGTGGAACAGAGTACAAAATAGCTTGAAAGTAACAAAGTCACGCTTCGTGGTTCGGCTCCATACCCCTCCAGTAAGGGTCCCGGCTGCGAACCACAATAGAAAGTAAGGCGAAGAGTAAAGGAAAGGAAAGAGAAGAGTAAAGAAATAAGTCGGACGGGGCAATAAGGCGACAAGGAGAAGGCTGCCAGGGAGGGTGGGCCCGGGGAAGAGACGGGGCGCGAGACTCCCTCTCCCCCCCACCGCCCCCTAGGTTCCCCGTTCCTCCTATCCCCCTAGCGGGCTCTCATCCCAAGGTCTCCAGACCTTCCGAAACGTTCCCAAGGATCCTCGTATTCTAGCTGTCAAGTCATCCATAAGTCTCACCTCTCTTATCCGTGAGTATACACTAGCCATTGGTGGGGCTTCCGGTTTTAGCCAGGTGTATGCTATTGCTCTCCGTGCTGCCAGGGTGAGTTTATGAAGTAGAGTATGTTCCCGTCTCGTCCAGCCGTCGACTGACCTGCTGAGGAGATACACCCAGGGGTCTAAATCTGGGGCCCTAGAGAAAACCTGGGTCAGGAGGTCCTTCACGGCCTCCCAGAAGCCCTTGAGCTTCGGGCATCCCCACCACATATGCAAGTAGGTTCCTTTATGCCCACACCCCCTCCAGCAGTCGTCCGTGATGGTTTTATGCATTTTAAAGAGTTGTACTGGGGTCATGTACCACCTGAACATCATCTTAAAGGCCTGTTCTTGTAATGCTACACATATCGAGGTAGTTCTACCAGCCTCCCAAATCTCTTGCCACTCCTCTCCCTCCAGTTCCTCCCCCAGGTCCCGCTCCCATTGTGTAATGTAGGTCAGCTCCCCCCACTCCCGCGCAGCTGTGCAGAGATGCGCATACAGTCTCGTTATGAGTCCCCTCGGTATACACTCTGACTTGCACATGGATTCAAAGAACGTCAGTGGGCTCTGCGCTATGGCCTGTATATGGGGTTGTCTGGCGTAGTCTCTTATCTGCAGATATCTGAAAAAGTCCGTCGGTGTGAGGTGTCTGTCTTGTGTAAGTTCGTCAAAAGTAACTAGATCCGAGCCCCGGTAGAGATGACACAGTCTCTGCAGACCTGCCTGTTCTAAATTCCTGAAATTCCTTGCCTCCATCCCCGGGGCGAACTCCCTGTTTCGTAATATTGGCATCAGGGGCGAGGGACGGGATGCCAATCCATATTTGCTACTACATGCGTCCCAAATCCGTAGAGAATTCAGCACCGCCGGACAGGTGACCCCGATCCGTGGTCTGTGTTCTCTAGGTATCCACATGACAAATTGAGGTAGGTCCAACCCTACCATAAGTGACTCTATATCCACCCATCTCCGTTCGTCCGGAGGTGAGTGCCAAAGTGCAACTTGCGCCAGTTGTGCCGCTAGATAGTAGTGGTACAGGTCAGGGAGGCCAAGTCCCCCCCTCGTCCTCAGTCTATGTAATATATATCTGGATATGCGGTATCTCTTATGCTGCCATACAAAATTCCCTATCGCCCGCTGGAGCGGGGCAAGGCGCGCCCTATTCAAAGGGACCGGAAGAGCCTGGAAGAGGAACAAGGCCCTTGGCAGGACGTTCATCTTGACAGCGTGGATCCGCCCTATCCAAGAGATCGGCTTGTCAATCCACCTGTCCATGTCCCTCATCAATGCTTGCCATAACGGGGCGTAGTTACTCGCATATAATTCGGTAGGATCGGCGGTTAATTGAATCCCTAGATATTTAATTGAGCGTGCCTCTATCTTTAGCTGATGCTCTCTTTGTATCTGGGCTACCTCGTCTCTTGGCATCCTGATGGGGAGCGCGCTCGATTTTTCCATATTCACTTTAAATCCAGAGAGTTCCCCATAATGTGCGAGGACTTCCCTCAATGCTGTCAAAGATTCCCTAGGTCTCGTAAGCGTCAGCAGGACGTCATCGGCGTAAGCCGCTACTAAAAATTCCCTGCCCCCCACCCGCACCCCGTGAATCCCCGGGTGTTTCCGTAGCGCCTGGAGAAAGGGCTCCAAGGATAATATAAAGAGCAACGGGGACAGTGGGTAGCCCTGCCTGGTCCCATTATGGAGGGGAAAGGGGGAAAGCGGCGCTCCCGAGACCAGCACCTGTGCTCGAGGGTTATAATACATGGCCTGTACCACGGTAATGTACTCCTCGAGGAAACCCAAGTGTCGTAGCACCGTAAACATATACTGCCACCGCACTCTATCGAAAGCTTTTTCAGCATCAATAGAGACTGCCAGTGTAGGTGTATTCGTCATCGTTTGTTTCCAGATGAGATCAATATTTCTATGGGTATTTTCAAGATGTTTTCCATTTTTACACCATTTGGGTTTATTTATCATTACCAGCTGTGAGGAATTTTAACCATTGTGTGCACAATCACCTTGTTTCCTGTTTATGTTTTCATACTTGCACAATGAATTTACACTGGCTTTTGCTGTGAGGAATTTTAACCATTGTGTGCACAATCACCTTGTTTCCTGTTTATGTTTTCATACTTGCACAATGAATTTACACTGGCTTTTGCCACATTAATGTGAATATCAGATAGATTAATTTGTGAATTTAGTTACAAAGTAGCCACGTGTATTGAAATTCAGAAAAAGCTGCTAATCCATTTGAAGAGTATAACCTATAGCTAAATATCTTTGGTCAGGTAAGTGTATGCTCCTCATCAAAGATAATTTAAATAAAAGAGCACAGGGAGTGAACGTCAGGTGGATTGGACAGTGTTCTCCATTCAAATTACAGCACAAACCCGGATTCAGAAAGAATTAAGATTACTTCAAGATAAAAGTAGTTGTTTTTTTGTTTGTTTTTTTAATAAATATTGTATTTTTTTTCAGCAAAGAAAACAAACCAAGGAAACATAAAACAAAAAAACTAAACATCAAAATAGTCATTGTTGGAAGAAACCAGGATATCCTTATGGCAACGGGATAAAACAGAATCCTTCATTCTCATTGCATTGTAGAAACATGGAATGTATAAGACACTTGAGGCTGGAAAAGTCTATCTTAATTTAGCGAAGCTTAGTCTTGGTCTCCATGTTAGATATTCCTGCGAAGTATCAGAAGGCAACAGGAATGGTTCTAGGTCAAGCTAAGCACAATAAGATCACTAAACACTGAGTAAATGTGAAAAGGCATTAAGAATCCATTTTGGACTGGCTAACCAGAACCAAATTCACTCTGGTCCATTTCGATTCACCAAAGTCTATAAGCAGAAAGTGCACGAGATGTATGAGAAAACAAGAAGAGTATGTCATAAATAAAGTCATCCTGTTCCATAGTGATCACTGCAGAGTGCAAAAGGAGTGTAAGGAGTAATTTATGGACACATTACTCATAAACAAGTCACTTTGTCACACTCCAATAATCTGTCAAGAAGCAGCAAGAGGCCATCTTGGGTTGCTAGCCGTAACCATATCTTTCAGACACGTTCCGATCAGCGGGTGTAAACTGACCACTTAACTTCATCAACAGTTTCACTACAAGGCCAGCCTGCATGCAAGAGGAGAAAAGGGAAAATACAAGTACGTAAAATGATTATGCAGAAATAACTGTATATTTAGAATCAGAGTGAGTTTTCTTTATTTAAAAAAGGACTCTCAGAACACCAATACAATTTTAATGCATTTGATTTGCAGGTTTTAGCCTCATTAATACGCTGTATTTTTGTATGCTCAGATCTTTTTATTTAATATATAGTTTTTGTATTATAAAAAAAACAAAAACAACAATTCTTTGCAGAATGTTGCACCATAAGCCCCCCTACTTAGCCACACCCCTCACTACAGGAGAAGACTTCCTTATCAAATGTATGTACACAGCTTTACCACCAAAAGCACTAAATGATTTGAACTGCAAAACAAACTGCATTGGAATGAGAGGAGACCACTACCTGTTTTAGTTGCTCCAGCTGTCTGCAGCCAAGTTGTGAATTGAAAGCAGCTTAGTCAGTGCTGTAGTGTCCCTTAAACATATGTCAAAAAGATGAATCTATTGTATCACTGCAATATAGTGTTTCCAGATTCAATTCAAATTCCAATTCTAAAATCATTCAAGCTGAGTACAATATTTTTTGCATAATCACACTGAGGGCACTTTTAAACTTTGTTTTTCATTAGAAACCACTTAAACATTTATATTTTAGAAATGCTCCATATATTGCCCAAAGCATACAGTGCGCAGGTGTGTTACACACACAGCATACAATACACAGCTGTACTGATCCCATACATATGGCAACACGCGGTTCTATTCAACTTGTTAAATTTTATTATTGACAAAAGGGATTATAAGGAAACATGGAAGACTAGCTCTGATAGACAGCAATATAAAGTTATACAAGAATGGATCAGATTAGCTTGTTTGGAAGGTGGTAATAGGTAGCATTACAAGTTTAGACATGCCAGATGGAGGGACAGGGCCCTGTTCGCAGGTTTAAAAGATTAAGAATGCAGAATGTCTGTCAGCACGGACTGGGTTATTCAATAAAGTTGAAATTTCATTTGGATGACATTTCACACTTGTAAATAACCCTTAGAGAATATGCCTGCTCTGGAACACATTACCGAACTAAGACCTTTTCTGTTTTATTTTGTTTTGATCCACTTGTTACTGCTGCACGGCATAATAAAAACATTGATCTGCAGTAACGGGACAATTACCTGCTTCGTGTGTACGATAAAATTCATTTTATTTTCCAGGCTATGGATTTGGAAGCAAATATCTGCATCTCCCAACTGCCATGTGAACCGTCCAAAGTTCAAACTGATCAGCAAGGCCTGCAAACACACACATAGGAAGTTTCTCAAACAGCAAACTTTGATACAAACAAAGTATTCCTCCAAGTAAAAAGAATAAAAAAAAAAAGAAAACATTTTATAATGCCATTAACAGGTGAAAAGCCAAATCCACATAATTCAATGAAAACTCATGGAAGTTAAAGGAACACTATAGTATTGGGAATACAAAGCTATATTCCTAACACTATAATGTCCCTCTGCCACCACCTCCCTTGCAGCCCCTCACCAACAGCAGTTAAAGGGTTAAAAACCCTTTAACTACTTACCAGATGCCAGCGCCGGTGCTGGCTCTTTCTCCAACGTCAGCGTCGTAGGGGAACCTAATGCACATGCAAGGCGAGTGCCACGCAAGCATTAGGTCTTCCCCATAGGAACGCACTGAATAAATTTATTAGACGCTGGACATCCTTAGCAAAGTGTGAGGACATCCAGAGTTGTTTCACAGAGTCAAACTCTGTGAAAGGACAGGAAGCGCTTCTAGGGGCTGTCTGGTAGACAGCCACTAGAGGCAGGCTTAACCCTGCAATGAAAACATTGAAGTCTCTCTGAAACTGCAGTTTTAGATTGAAGGGTTAAGGGGACAGGGACACTGCACACAGACTACTTCAATGAGATAAAGTGGTCTGGGTGCCTATAGTGTCCCTTTAATCTAAGACCTAATACAGTGTGTATCTGGAATATAAGTTACATTATAAAATGCCATAATATAGACATCAACTAGGTACATTCAATTAAGGTGCCTTAATTAAGCAATATCTGGATCTCTTTAATTCTTTACATCTGCTGCACAATTTATTTGTGGATAGTACCATAATGCAACAACTGAAAACAAAACCTCTATTAACAGGTTTCTAAGTTAATGGTTTATTTTGCATCATTATTACTTGGATTTATGGACGTAAAAGCATATGAATGCAACTTAAAGTACACTCCAAGCACCAAAATAACTTTATTTGATAGCATTTGGCCTCGTTAGTTGTGGTTATGTCGCCTGGAGTGTCCCTTTCAAAGGTATCAAAGCTGTAACACTGTTGCAGAATGAATTCCTGACTGAAATGACATTAACCCCATGGAAAAAAAATCCTAGAGCTAAGCAGCAATTATTTATGGAAGACACCACTCACTGCATGTTCATTGAGATAAAGTGCCAAGATATTGGTGCCTGGAATGGCCCTTCAAGACAAAGACAAGTTATGGCATCAATGTTACCTTGGTTTCCAGATTAAGCAGATGCAGGCCTTTTGTGTTGACTCCAACGTACACTTGGATAACTTTATGGTTGCTAGAACTGGCCTTTGTGAAGATCTGGCCCGTGAAGAATGCGGCTCCATATGTGGGAATGTCCCAGCAATTCTGGAGAAACATCCGCTGCAGGTGATGCATCTCTTTGCTCACACCCTCACTCATACTCAAATTCTAAAGAAATGAAGAAATCACAATGAAAGCTTTGCTTCCTTTGGTATTGCTGATTAAATCAGTAACACTCACAGTGACCAAAGGAATAACGCAGAAGTATAATGTATACAATTTTTATTGTTTTGCACTATTTTAAGATTGTTGTTTTAGCATGTGTGTGTATAGAAAATAAATTATATATATATATATATATATATATAAAACATAATATAATAATAAACAAAGTTAATTATATTTGTATATTTCATATATGCAACATACATAGTTTACATATAAAAGTATGACTATAAACAAGTATGTCTGATGCGCAGAAAAACAATTCACTTAATATCAATAGAAGACTGGAATGCTTCACATTTGAAACAGTACAGTATAGGATGGGATGAAGTATCATTAGGGAAAACACGGTGACTGGAAGGAAACATTGCACCCATCAATGGAAAAGATCTGGATCAGCCGGATTGGCTGCAGTGGGACTGCGTGGGTTGTCAGACAGGTCCCCTGATTGCGATTGCCAAGGAGGGCCACATCATTAGGGAGTGCTCTGCCGCCATAACAGCGTTATTGCCCTCCTTTTGAAGGATGCCATAGCACTCCCTTACATCAGGAAAGGGTCAAATGCCTATAGTGGTTGTCGCTCTAACCTAGCTACCTAGAAAGGCACTATAGCAGTAGGAATATACGTTTGTTTTCCTAGAGCTATAGTGTTTCTTTAAGTAAGCATAGGATCAACGCGAGGATAACAAACAGAGTTGTATATATTCTATAAAGCCATCAGTTTAGCATCAGAACAAATAAACACTTGGATTTATATATACACACACCTTATACTCATGCAGAATTCGATTTGTCCAATGCGGTGCTTTGCTCTTCACTTTAGTGATCGGTACTATAGATTTTAGATTTTCTTCACTGAAACAAAAAAATTGTAATATCACAAATAAATTCAGGAGAAACCCGCCCCCAATCTCCCAAAACATATTGGTAAATAAAGATACAGTTGCGATCTGAACCAATAGTGGTAGACGAAACTCACTTTAAGAATCCTTGCTTGTGTTTCTTGCTTTCGTAGTTCCCATAGACTATCTGGAGGAGAAGGCTGGCTAGAGTGATAAGTTTTGCATCTGGTGCTGGATAGAAACTTTTGAGGAGGTTGTACCGGGCTTCATCGAAAAGGATGAGAATAGCAAGAGGGTCTTCAATCTTAAAAAAAGAGATCAGAAGACACAAACGGTCAAATGTTTTGCCAACAGGGCGTATTATGGGATACAGCAGTACTATGGCTGAATTATGAAATTTTTTTCTATTGCAGCGGGTTTCCAACCCAGTTGTGATGCAATGCAGCTATCCAGGATTTAGCAGTCTGACAATTCTCTTTTTAGGGAATACTGGCAACATTTGGACTGTTTGTTTGCTTTCAGACCTGGGACAGGAATCACTGAAAGAATTGTAGAATTCTATTTTATAAATCACAGATCAACAAGAGTATGCTGGGAAGGATATCATTCTAATGACCTGTTTCTTCTGACCATTGGAATTCTGATATACTTTGATTTAATTATTTGTTATTATGGTAGGTGGCTTTTGAGACTAAAATATTATGTATTGTCTGCCAGCTGGCCAAGCAAGTAGCCATTAGCCAAATATCATTATAAAAAGAATTACATTGGGAGCTGGAGTCCCTTTTATTATGTTATTATTTATATAGCGCCAACAAATTTGAACTCAGCTTGAGCCTGGGTCCTATCTGGGTCCCTCCAGCTTGCCCTGTCGTACCTGGGGAGTCGAGAGTTGTAGCCGGTTAGGGCGAGAGAGAGTGTGCCTGTGCTACCAGGGCATGTGTTAAAGGGGACAGCTCTCTGGGTATTCCAAGCCACACTTTTAACCCTTGCATACCTCTGCATGCCTAGGGTATGAAGGAACACATGTCCAAGTCCCTTCTGGTTAATAGAGTATCATGGGAATTACGGTCGTCCTCACACAGGTCTTCCCTTTTTAACAGTTTAAATTTTTCTTTTTGCTCCTAAATCTTAAATTAAATGCATATTATATATTACATTTTGCTCCATCTCCCCTCGGCTATGTGCTCAATTTCACTCCCGAGCCAGGACACCTGACCAAGTTCAGTCTCTTACACAAACATCCACTTGATACCACTCAGGTTACACAACCTTGTTATTGTTATGTACAGGCCTTTCATCAAACATCACGTTCCAATGGATACAATAACCTCATTGACTGCGAGATAGCGGTTTTCCTCTACTTAGGCCATTACTACATCAAATTATACTAAATAAAATCTGCAGACAGCTTGTCATTGTTATGTTGATATTTAGATTACCCATCTACTCAGTCACCAATTATTGTCTTGAATGAACAAAAGTGTGGCTTGGTAGTTTCCACATCAGATGTGACAACACAGATAAGATTCACTGGCTTCTTTTATACCATAATTACCATGTTTTCTTTGCAAACAGTCACTTTGATTTTACTGCTTAATCTGCATTTTTGGTTCTGAACGAAGTACATAAAACACAACAAGATCAAGGTCTACACTGAATATGCCAGCTGCAGATTGGGTGAACAAAGGATTATATATTTACTGTGCAAATCTTATTTTTTATTAGTTGAAAAAGAATTTCATTTACGTTTATAAAGGAGTCAGCTAAGGAGTTCGACTCATTACAGACCTTCTGCACTAGCGTTGGCAGGGAGTTCGTCCCAGGCTGCAGTGCCAGCCTACAGTTTTCACTCCATTTTGAAATCGATGTACTGGAGCACAAAGCCAAAACAACAAAATAAGTCTTACTTAAGGACTGTAAACCAATATTTCTGATTTGGTGTTATGTGTTCTTAAATGGTTTATATTCATTAAAAAGCACATCTTACTTTTTTCTCTATATCTAGAGTAAGTTTCACATCCCTCCTAAGAAAGAGTTGCGGAGTCTCTCTTTGTGGATCTAGGTTGGTCAGCTCACAAACGATTTCTGGCCAATCTCGGATATGCTGCAAAGGTTTGTGAAATGGTTTCAACTGAAGACCTTAGGAAAGGAAAAAAAACAAACACGTAATTAAAAAGGAATATGTATGAATGGAACATTCCAAGCACCATAACTACTACAGTGTTCGGAAGTGGTTATGGTGCTTAGAGAGTGTTCCTTTAAAGCAATAAACAAAGCATGTCTTGTGATTATAGTTTTTTTTGTAAATCCAATATTAAATGTTCAATGTTTTCAAGATTTGTCTTCAATCATAAAATCTGGGAGGTTTATTCACTCAAGTGTGAACGGTCATGAATTCAGGGCAAATTGCTAATTTTAGACTGAACTAGAAAGATTGGTTTTGTTAGGAGGTATAGCTACCAAATCAGTGACTGTTTGTGTTAGAGTGTCTCTCTACGTGTTCTTTTTGGTTATTTTGGTCTAAATTAGACATTTTGAAGAACCATGCTTACTGATATTCTCTGAACAGATCCAAATGGTGAAGTACTGTTGGGTCTCTTGTGAAAGACGCATTCCCTCCATGATTTGCTGTACCGTCGTATTATTCCCATGCTTCAGCTCCACTGAGCGGTATGACCCATCCATTCGATATATACGCACTTTTTCATACTACCACAAAAACAAAAACAGAACCCAGAAATTAGAGACATTATGTATAAACATACGTAATAACCAAAAAACTAGTTTGGATTATTTTACAGAATGCATTGCATGGCTCCTCTTTTTCATATACATATAAACTAACACTGTTAGGGTCTGCACCTAGGAATAGAAATGTGCTAGCATAGTAATTTAAAAACTTTTGAAAAATATGATGTGATTCCCTAGACCAGAAAAAGCGGGAGGGGGAGATAGATTTTAAGAAATTCAAATTGTGAAAAATAAGTTGTGAACTGGAAAAAAACAACAAAACAGTTTAAGCTGATGTGATTTTGCCTTGAGACTAACAGAGTTAAAGGCCATTAAGTGTTGCACACACAAAATGTCCGATAAATAGATTTGTTTCGCATTTTCTATACGATTGTATCACAATGATCAAATACTCCTTTATTTATGAGAGACTGTTCACATAGTCAAATATATTTTGTAACATATACTATTTTATTTGTGTTAGTAGTGCTTGGATGTACCCCTGGTTGATATGGCAGATTTGGATAGAAGGTGAGTATGCTGGCAAGAACCTGCTATAGGGGTACGCAGTAATCAATACTGCATGGAGAAAGAAAACAACTAAATGTTTCAATGATATACCAGCACTCTTATCTTACAACTTTGTTATTTTAACCCCTTAAGGACACATGACATGTCATGATTCCCTTTTATTCCAGAAGTTTGGTCCTTAAGGGGTTAAATTTGTAGAGAGTGGAAACAGTACTTCCCATGGTCAAGAAGCAATTGTACACTAGACTAGACAATACAATAGTTAGACAGATGCTTTTTCCTAACTGAGACTATTTCTGTAGTATTTAAACTGAGACAAATGTATCCCTAATGGGTTACGTTGCTGCAAATAATTAACTGCTTAATAGATGGAAAGAGATCCAGATTGTTGATCAAGGCCTGTAACACTTAATAATAGGTTGGCACCAACGACAGCAAGAGTTAAGGGACAAAAGTCCTCACGTTTTCACTCTGGTTTATAAAAAAAAAAAAGTTTATTACATTGAATGACATTTTTTTTTTTTTTTTTAAATAACATTTCTCTTTTTTTGGGCTGAGCAGTCATATTGGGTGAGACTCTATGGATATCTGACTGCTGATCAATCTAACTAGCCTGCTGCTGTGATTGCTCTATGTGTAACTACAACAGCAGGTGAGTTAGATGGAGTAGCAGCTGGTCATAGAGTCAGGCCCAACATGGCTACTTATGCAGAAAAAGTGAAATCCTCCCCAAATAATAAATATATGTCATTTAAATAAATCAAAATCTCAATTCATTAAAGGACCCTATAGGCACCCAGACCACTTCAGCTTAATGAAGTGGTCTGGGTGTCTGGTCCAGCTAGGGTTAACCCTTTTTTTAATAAACATAGTTTCAGAGAAACTGCTATGTTTACACTGAGTGTTAATTCAGCCTCTAGTGGCTGTCTCATTGACAGCCGCTAGAGGCGCTTGCGTGCTTCTCACTGTGAAAATCACAGTGAGAAGACGCCAGCGTCCATAGGAAAGCATTGTAAATGCTTTCCTATGAACTGGCTGAACTCGCGCGCGGCTCCTGCCGCACATGCGCATTCAGCCGATGACGTCGCTAGGAAGAAGGAGAGGAGGAGGAGAGCTCCCCGTCCGGCACTGGAGAAAGGTAAGATTTTAACCCCTTCCTCTCTCCAGAGCCCGGCGGGAGGGGGACCTCAGGGCACTATAGTGCCAGGAAAAAAAAAGTATGTTTTCCTTGCACTATAGTGGTCCTTTAACTGTAAGGAACTTTATTTTTTTTAAAAGATAATTCTTGAAAATTTGATGACAATTGTCCTTTAAAGCCCCATTCTAGTCAGCAATTAAGTTACTCTCAATGTATATACCATTCAGGCAAGTATCCAACTCTTTCCTGCAGCCGAATTTCCAATATCCAATTAGGTTGTTGCTAACACAAGTGTAATTTTAAATTTACCATTCAGACGGTAAAATATGGCATTTAATAGAAACAAGAATACATAGTGAAAGTATTTAATGATAACACAAAAAAGGATAAAAAAATAACAGAGATACACTCACAAATCGAGTGGCAAAAAGAGAAATATATCTGTTGGTGTAAATAAGCTATTCAGGAGGGGCGGGGCTAGCAGCCGACCGAAATGGCCGCACACTGAGTTCACTGCGAGCATAACGGGCAGAGATCGCTGCACGGAGGAGGTTCAACAACGGCATGGGAAACAGTAAACTCCAGCAAACACCCCACCAGCCGCAGGGGAAGCTACCGGCGGGTAAACCGGGCTCGGTTACCCGCCTATTTAAAGATTATGCCGACCGCATGGCAGAAGCAGGGGACTCCATCATGGCGCCGGCGGGAAACCACCCTGACTCTGAACCCCCGAGTCCTGTTCAATCTGACGACTCATCGGTCTCTGTGGGGGGGGACATAAAGGATCTCCTGAAAACCCTGCCAACACACCTAGACCTGGCACAGATGCTTGGAAAGCTGGAAAATACTGTCCAGCTCAAAATGGAGGGCTTGAGTGCTGAAATCAAGCAGGTAGACAGACGGGTGCAAGAATTAGAGGATTACAGGGATACATGTCAGACACAATTACAAGACATATCCCATGCACTTATTTCACAAGAGAGGCACCTAACCCTGCTTCAGAGAGCGCTTGAGGATATTGATAATAGGGGTAGGAGGAATAACCTACGCATTAGAGGGTTGCCAGAAGCTGAAAAGGAAGATTTAAAGGAGCAGCTAGCCACCCTATTCAACCTGATACTAAACCGCGCGCCTGACACCCCAGTATTTCTGGACAGGGCGCACAGATCCCTACGGCCCAGAAATGGAACAGGCGACTCACCGCGAGACGTCATCTGTCGCTTTCATTACTTCACCCTAAAAGAAGACGTCCTACGGGCACTAAGGGACACCTCCTCACCCTTACTATACCTCGGTCATGAAATCCAGAAATCCAGATTTTCCAGGACCTATCCTGGCATACTCTTCAGGCAAGGCGAGCACTACGGCCAATCACGGATCAACTAAGAGCACGGAGCATACGCTACAGATGGGGCTTCCCCTTCACCCTCATTGTGGGCATCAAAAGGCACGACATACACGATCTCCACCCATCAAGATGTCAACCCCTTTATTGCGGCTCTGAACCTGACAGAAGTCAACATCGCAAATTGGTATGCCCCGGACCCAACAGCCGTGTTAGACACCCAAACACAGGGGCAACAGTGGCGTAAACCGTGACTAAAAGTGGGACAGAAAAACATACCCAAGAGGGACAACCGGCGAATTGGAGGACCCACAGACGGATGAGAGGCTTACCGAGGAGCATCCCAGATGGACTGCACCACGGAGAACACAACGGGACAGGACGACCACACCACTCACCACTCAAGGACAAACCTCGCAAGAGACCCCCGACGGACAAACTCACGCTAGCCAGGAAAAAGAACTAGAGGAACACAAGTTGAAAACCGCTAAAGGACTTGGGACACTGATATAAAACAAAAAGCATAGGAGGGGAAACAAAAAAAGACAGAAAAGAAAGGAAAAACAAAAACAAAACAAAACCCCACTACCCACCAAAGAGGACAAATCTGAGCACAGGTCGTATACTCTAATGTTGTCTTATTGTTTGATGAGATAGCATGCAAATGGTTTCTCAGTATGGTGCCAATTGCTTAGATTCTTAGAGGGGAACAACACCAACACAGAGAGGTCACCAACTTAACCACAGCAGCACAACATTGACAGGAAACACACTAGACATACACAATACCCTCCAAACCAACCGGACTGACAAAAAAAAAAAAAAACACAATTAATTCCATCTGGGATTAAATAATTAAAAAAAAATAAAAAATTAAAAGAGTCTGCAAACGCCCCGGCTCAATCTAACGTTACACCCAACCTATCTACCTATTTCCCATAAACATCCTCCACTACACATGCAAACAGCATACGCGATCTCACCCGTAAGCTCCATCCAAACAGACACCAAACTCCACCGGCAGAACTCGGACTGAATCTGAGCCAACCATTAAGACAAGACCGATCATCCGATAAAGGAGGACCAGACAAACCCGACATCACACACAAAGACAAACTCCCCCCCCCCAACCAACCTTAACATAAAACACGGTGTCATACTATTGCCCACTGTTGACACAGGGACTCTCAGGGGCAGACACCAGTAACATCTAGTCACCACAGAGTGCTACTTACTCGACTCAGGGTCTCTTACCCTATTTTTATTTAGTTACAAAATAGTAACTAACTAGTGTACATAGTTGACCGACAACTCACGAGAAAGTAAACAGGGTAACACAGATGGTCTTTTTGTTCATTTGTTAATGTTATTGCTGTCGTAATTGTTATTGTATTGCTTTGCATTGTCTCCAGCCACGATTAAGCGAGCCTCACCTACACACGGCTTCGTTTTATTCAGGGAACTCCTAGATTGCCTAACCGAGGGTCAACCTTAGGGTACACAACACCAACACCAGGAAGCGTTTGCATTCACTACCTCACAACGCCCACAGAGGCTCCCCACACATCCCCCTTAAAATATCTGCTCTAACAAAGCAATGACAACCATAAACATCTTAACACACAACGCCTTAACACGCCGGAAAAACGCCACAAAGCACTGGCAGACTATCACAGGCAGAAAACAGATATAATATTTATACAAGAAACACATTTTCGCAAGAATTCAGTCCCTCCTCTCAGATCAAAATTCTACACCAAAAGCTTCCTTAGCAGTTATGGAGGATCTAAATCCAGAGGGGTGGCGATCCTTCTCTCTTCAAAATTACCCTTTACATACAAAGATCACTACTCTGATGAGGGAGGAAGGTATGTCTTTCTTAAGGGACTAATAGGGAACACCGTCACAACCCTGGCCAATATATACCTTCCGAACAGGAAACAGGCATCCACCCTTCGCAGAATATTACACAAATTAGAGGCTTTCTCAGAGAGTCTGCTAATCATGGGGGGAGACTTTAATATATCCCTAGATGGGTCGTTAGACACTACCTCGCAGGCCCAAACATATCAAACCTCCACGAGGAACCAGATACAAAAACTTCTCGACACTCACCAACTTTATGACATATGGCGTGCCTCACACCCCAACAGTAGAAGTTATTCCTTCTACTCACACTCATCAAAAACATACTCTAGGATAGACATGCTATTTACCCCACACAGATTCCTCAACCTCATAAAAACAAGCGAATATGCCCCGATAACATGGTCAGATGACAATATCAATCCCTACCCCACCAGAACACAATGGAAACTGAACGACAATCTGTTAAACGACCAAGTCATACAAAACCAAATTGAATAAAATATAATCCAATATTTTGAAACAAATACCAAAGCTGACACACCCTACCCAATCATCTGGGAAGCCCATAAAAGCACTATAAGAGGTATAATCATCCAAATAGCCTCCCGACACAAAAAAACAGCGTGAGGCACAAGTCACATGACTGCTCAAAGAAATAAGAGAGCTAGAAGGGGTCCATGCCCAGGACACTACACTAGCGAACTATAAAACACTTCTAGAGAAACGAACAGAACTCAACACCATACTTAACGTACGCACAAAGTATGCTATAGCAAAGACACGAAGCCTATACTACGCGCAGGGAGGGAAGAGTGGGCGCTTGTTGGCCAACGCACTTAAAAAACAAAGAGAGAATACCTTGATACCGTCCATAAGGGACAATAGCGGACACCTCTCCCATTTAGTAACTGACATATCCAAAGCCTTCCAAGAATACTACCACTCTCTATATAATCTAAGACAGACCCCCCGCCGACCCACGAGATCCAAAGCTTCCTTACGAATAGAATACATACCACATTACCAAAAAACCTGAGTGAAACCTTAGAACACCCAATCACAGCAGAGGAGTGTAGGCATGCAATCAAAAACCTTCCGATTGGGAAAAGCCCGGGCCCAGATGGGTTCACAACGAAGTACTACAAAACTTTTGCCACAACGCTCATACCGCACTTCACGAAATCCTTCAATTCCCTTTTACAGGGTAACACTCTCCCACCACAGGCGCTCAATGCTACAATTACTCTTATATCAAGGTCGCGCAAGGACCCTTCCCAATGCTGAAGCTATAGGCCGATATCTTTGATAAACATAGATCTCAAACTCTTTACAAAAATCCTAGCCCCCCTCCTGCTGAGGATAATACACACAGATCAATCTGGCTTTATACCAGGCAGAGAAGCAAAAAACAATACTACGAAAATCATAAACCTGATACATCATGCCACGCGAGCGGAGGACCCCAGTCTACTTCTGTCCATAGATGCTGAAAAGGCTTTCGACAGAGTAGACTGGACCTTAATGCTACACACACTCCAATCACTGGGATTCGGCCTGAACTGGAAAAAATGGATAAAAGCAATCTATTCAAACCCCACAGCCAACATTAGAATTAATGGACAACTCTCAGATTGTGTGCCGATATCAAACAGAACAAGGCAGGGTTGTCCGCTCTCCCCCCTCCTCTTTGTAATACTCCCAGAGCCTTTCCTTCAGGGAATACGAGACAATGCGAACATCAAGGGCATCCAGGTGGGCAATCACGAACACAAAATAGCCGCATTTGCGGATGATATGCTGTTCTCAATTTCGGACCCGGTAGCCTCACTCCCACACTTAATGGAGGAAATTAACATCTATAGTAAAATTTCAAGCTTTAAAGCAAACCTTAGTAAATGCGAAATTCTCCCAATCCACATACATACACACATTACAACAACACTGAAACGAAACTACCCTTTTGCATGCGCCTCGCATTACATCAAATACTTGGGAATACACATCACTAGAGATTTGTCCCACCTTTTTGAAAACAACTTCCCGAACCTACTTAAAAACATTCACTCAGATTTGACAGCATGGAATAAACCCCATTTTGGATGGTTCTGCAGGCTGAAGATTCTTAAAATGAATGTTTTACCTAGGATTTTATATATGTTACAAGTGCTTCCCGTAACAATACCGAAGACTTGGTTCAGCGCAATGCGCAAGATCTTCACGACCTTCATATGGTCCCACAAAAACCCTAGACTGGCATACACACTCCTTATAAGACCGAAAGAAGAAGGAGGCCTAGGTCTTTCAGATATAGACAGATACTATAAAGCAGTACATCTGACAAGAATATATGACTGGGCATGCCCCCACACCACAAAACAATGGGTAACCATTGAGGACACGTTCTTCAGAGTACCTATATACACGGTCCCGTAGCACAAGACGGGTCAAACACTCTTGATAAAAGGCCCACATCCAACAATCACCCCCACCCTACGCACCTGGGCGACCCTCAAAACATACAAACAACTCGCTCCCCACCCGTCCCCGCTTTATCCGATCTCACATAATCCGCTCATTCAACTGGGGGTAGATGGCAAGGCGCTGAAACCCTTCCAAACACAAGAATATCTATCGTTGGGGGACCTTTTAGACGAGATGGGGGAGCAATTGGTCAAACCTCTACAGAAACTCATCACGTCCCCAAACGAGATTCAAAAGTTCCAATATCATCAAATGATACACTTCATACACTCAGGACCTCTAAAGTATGGAAAAAATCAACCACAAACAGCGTTTGAGCAACATTGCGCTAGCCAAGATCTAACAAAGAAACATATATCACTAATGTATTCTACTGTCCACACAACACTTACCCACCAACTACCGAAAATTACCCCAACATGGGAAAGGGAACTCAACCTAGAAATATCCAGAAACAAATGGAAACAGATTTTTAGACAAATTCACAAAACCTCCAGGAACACTATAGCTCAAGAAAGCAACTATAAACGGATAGCCAGGTGGCACTGTACCCCCTATTCCCCACAACAACAGACCGCTGCTGGAGATGCCACCAAACCAGCGGGACACCCGCGCACATATGGTGGACATGTCCGGAGATACGCAAATACTGGACAAGAAGCTCAGGGCGATATACCAGATTCTAAGGGTAAACACTCTGCTACACACCGACACTTTCTTATTCCTTCTTCCGCCCCCGGGAATGCAGAAACATGAAAAAACACTCCTAATCCACCTCATTACAGGAGCTAACCAACTTATACCAACCTTATGGAAACAACCTCACACACCCACCACAAGGGAATGGATACAAAGGGTTGAGACCATTAGAGGCTTAGAAAAAAAAAAAAAACCTATTCAGCCACCAATGGGCTAAGTCCCCATAAGGTTGTTTCCAATATATTTTGTTTCTGAGGACTGGTGAGAACAGCGATAGATTGATATCCTGAGGTACCATTGGCTGACATCAAACTTATGGGGACTTAGCCCATTGGTGGCTGAAAAGTGTATTTGTACAAACAGATATATTTCTCTCTGTGCCACTCGATTTGTGAGTGTATCATATTTTTTACCCTTTTTTGTGTTATCATTAAATACTTTCACTATGTATTATTTTTCTTGTGTTTCTATACCACGCCATATTCTACCATCTGAATGGTAAATATAAAATCAAACTTGTGATAGCAGTGCCGTCACATGTATACGTTTTTTAACTACAGTATATACTCGAGTATAAGTCTAGTTTTTCAGCACATTTTTTGTGCTTAAAAACCCCCACTCGACTTATACTCGAGTCACTGTCTGTATTATGGCAACTTAGAGAGCCGCGGCCGTCAGAGCCATGGCAACGATCCGCGCGGCAACCAGACCGCGAGACTTACAGTGGAGCTGACCGGAACGGAGGAGAAGGGAGCTGACAGGAGCTGCAGGAAAGGTAAGTAAATGCTTCCTGCCGGCCCCCCCACTTCACAGCCCATGCCACTGGACCACCAGGGATTAAGATAGCCCCCCTCCCTGACCAGTTAACAAGCAGGGAGGGGGGACAAAAAAAATTTAAAATAATAAAAAAATAATAATATTAAAATTAAAAAAAATTAAAATTAAAATGCCCTCCCCCCACATAGTTCACACACAATACACAAACACACACTCTGCATTATATACACACTCTGCATTATATACACAGAGTGTGTGTATATAATGCATTGTGTGTTTGTATGAGTGTGTGTGTGTGTATATAATGCAGAGTGTGTGTTTGTATGAGTGTGTGTGTGTATATAATGCAGATTGTTTGTATGAGTGTGTGTATATATAATGCAAAGTGTTTGTTTGTATGAGTGTGTGTGTATATAATTATAAAAATCACAGAATTTCATAGCCCCAAGTTTTACCCTCGACTTATCCACGAGGCATAGCATATTTCACAATTGTTGGTCACAAAACTGCACTCGACTTATACATGAGATCGACTTATACACGAGTATATACGGTATACTATTTTTGTCTGTTACATTGTTGGGATTCAGGAGTGATCCCTTTCTTGAGTGGCTAGCCTGCACTTGTTGGTTGCACTATCTCCCCATTTACCATACCTTTTCTAATTAGGTTGTTTGCTTTAAATCAGATTTAAAGGGACACTATAGTCACCAGTGCAACTACATGTATTCCTAACCATATAGTGTTAACACGACCATCTAGCCCCCCTGGGCCCCTCATGCCTCCATAAATATAGTAAAAATCTTACTGTATTCAAGCCAGAAGCTGTAAATCTGCATGCTGAGACTCAGGAAAAACAAGCAGTCTGCTGAAATGTGATAGCCTGATCCAATCACAGTGCTTCCCCATAGGATTGGCTGAGACTGACAAGGAGGTAGATCAAGGGCAGAGCCAGCATGATTCAAACACAGCCCTGGCCAATCAGCATCTACTCATAGAGATGAATTGAATCAATGAATCTCTATGAGGAAAGTTCAGTGTCTGCATGCAGTGGGAGGAGATACCGAATCACAGGATGCTCGTGCACAGCAGATCTGAGTGGATGGAGGCATATTATGCCTCTATTAACTCCGAAGTCCCTCTGGTTCACTCTGAGTAACTGCAACTGGAGGTGTTCCTAGCTTTCAATGTAAACACTGTATTTTCTTAGAAAATACAGTGTTTACATGAGAAACGCTGCAGGGAGCTATAGTTCTCACCTGAACAACCTCATTAATCTGAAGTTGTTCAGGTGACTATAGTGTCCCTTTAATTTCTGTAATTTAGTTTCTAAAATTGAAAGAATGCTTGGAAACTAAAATTGTAAGCACTTTAAGGGATCGGCACCATTTTGCCTGGATTGCACTTTAACAAAACTAGCTTTACCCATTGAAATTGTCAGATTTGTGAGAACTCTCACAATGCCAGTTTATACATGGAATTGAAACATTTTGTAATGCTTATATCCCCAAAGGTAAATGTACGCTATTTTTATAACACACAATCTCTTTCACAATATCAAATTTCAGAAAACACATAATTGTCAAACAGTGACAATGAATTACCTTACTTTTTTGTATTCCTGTTTAATAAAGGTTGTTTTGTTTCTTTTTACATATATTTAGACATGTAGCTAGCTTTTAAAGTAGAAATAATTGTTAGACACAGCGCTCTCTAGTGGGAGAACTGTGAAATGATATTGTGAAATATATTTGATGTATCTGGATATATCCAAGACATTGACATTACGCCCAGGATCATGTGATACTACTGTATCAGTATTAAATACACAATATACACTTCTCAAAAAAATAAAGGGAACACTTAAACAACACAATGTAACTCCAAGTCAATCACACTTCTGTGAAATCAAACTGTCCACTTAGGAAGCAACACTGAATGACAATCAATTTCACATGCTGTTGTGCAAATGGGATAGACAACAGGTGGAAATTATAGGCAATAAGCAAGACACCCCCAATAAAGGAGTGGTTCTGCAGGTGGTGACCACATACCACTTCTCAGTTCCTATGCTTCCTGGCTGATGTTTTGGTCACTTTTGAATGCTGGCGGTGCTTTCACTCTAGTGGTAGCATGAGAAGAAGTCTACAACCCACACAAGTGGCTCAGGTAGTGCAGCTCATCCAGGACATCAATGCGAGCTGTGGGAGGAAGGTTTGCTGTGTCTGTCAGCGTAGTGTCCAGAGCATGGAGGCGCTACCAGGAGACAGGCCAGTACATCAGGAGACGTGGAGGAGGCCGTGGGAGGACAACAACCCAGCAGCAGGACTGCTACCTCCGCCTTTGTGCAAGGAGGAACAGGAGGAGCACTGCCAGAGCCCTGCAAAATTACCTCCAGCAGGCCACAAATGTGCATGTGTCTGCTCAAACTGTCAGAAACAGACTCCATGAGGGTGGTATGAGGGCTCGACATCCACAGGTGGAGGTTGTGCTTACAGCCCAACACCGTGCAGGACGGCATTTGCCAGAGAACACGTTAGAAGATTTACAAATTCGCCACTGGTGCCCTGTGCTCTTCACAGATGAAAGCAGGTTCACACTGTGCACATGTGTCAGACGTGACAGAGTCTGGAGACGCCGTGGAGAACGTTCTGCTGCCTGCAACATCCTCCAGCATGACAGGTTTGGCAGTGGGTCAGTAATGGTGTGGGGTGGCATTTCTTTGGGGGGCCGCAATGCCCTCCATGTGCTCGCCAGAGGTAGCCTGACTGCCATTAGGTACCGAGATGAGATCCTCAGACCCCTTGTGAGACCGTATGCTGGTGAAGTTGGCCCTGGGTTCCTCCTAATACAAGACAATGCTAGACCTCACGTGGCTGGAGTGTGTCAGCAGTTCCTGCAAGACGAAGGCATTGTTGCTATGGACTGGCCCGCCCGTTCCCCAGACCTGAATCCAATTGAGCACATCTAGGACATCATGTCTCGCTCAATCCACTATTGCACTACAGACTGTCCAGGAGTTGGCAGATGCTTTAGTCCAGGTCTGGGAGAAGATCCCTCAGGAGGAGACGATCCGCCACCTCATCAGGAGCATGCACAGGCGTTGTAGGGAGGTCATACAGGCACGTGGAGGCCACACACACTACTGAGCCTCATTTTGACTTGTTTTAAGGACATTACATCAAATTTGGATCAGCCTGTAGTGTGTTTTTCCACTTTAATTTTGAGTGTGACTCCAAATCCAGACATCCATGGGTTGAAAAATTTGATTTCCATTTTTTTATTTTTGTGTGATTTTGTTGTCAGCACATTCAACTATGTAAAGAACAAAGTATTTCAGAAGAATATTTAATTGATTCAGACCTAGGATGTGTTATTTTTGTGTTCCCTTTATTTTTTTGAGCAGTGTATGTATTACACTAGTTGCTACATGTTATTGTATCATCAGATCCCTCTTGCTCTACCTATGTCTCAGAAAACGAAGAAAAAATAAAAATTAACATGTTTTTTATAGTTAATCACATGAATATTAAAAACATTTGAAAATTATATTCTCTATTTTTTTCCATTCACATACCAGGGCTTTTAAAAAATTATAGACTGTCAGCAGACGTGCAGGTACACCATCTGAGCACTGAATTTTCTAGAACTCTAAATATCCCACAGGACCTTTGATCATAACAGTGTATCTTCAAGCATGACAGAAGCAATCATAGACAAACATGTTCATCAACATACTCTGCAGGGATCAGAGCATAGAGCACAGTGGAGTGAGTGATAAACTATGTATAACCTTGAAACAGAACACTTCAATATATTAATAGTAAAATAGTGTTACATGGTGTCTGGGAATCTTGGGACTGGATGTGCGATCACAACCTAAGCTTACAATGGCCATCATGCACAACTAGTTGTCAAGAAGTGGTGTTCTGAAACTTCTGTGTTACCGAGACTAGCAATCAGTGGCCTGGGTGCTGGCTGGATGTTTAACCAGGATAATAAATCTCACATGGATAACTGAGGTTGTCTGAAGGAGATTATCTTCACTGCACGGTAAGGAACTAGCCAATTGGTTGGAAATAATAATATAAATGTAATGGTCAGTAATCTGCAAAGAGGCTGCAGGTTCTTTTGTGGTTTCCTGGAGCTTCTACAAACAAACACAGGTAAGGGTAGTTACAAGTACAAATAAACAACATGGACGCTATTTGCTATAGTTTCCTATTAAAAAAAGGCCAGCTTCGAGTAAATTGTAAACTATCGACTGCATTTGCTGTCGCCTGCAGATATATATAAATTTACTATCGTGAGATTCTAAAAATGCCTGGGGGAGCTATTACATACTCAAACACCTACAACTGTAAATCTAACTATTCGTGTTGCAAGTACTCACATGCACTGTCCCCGCTCACTGCGGAATACGTTGATGGATTATAAATAACAATGTCAAGCAACATACCGGCTTGTTCATTGAATCCTGTAACAGCTGGGCAGCTTCTTCCCACTTGCTCTGCTTGTTCTCTTCACAGATGTCTAGGGGAGAACGTCCTTGCTGGTCAGAGACGTGCTGAAATAAATCGGTGAGTTCACAAGATGTTAAAGAACTGCAAAACACAGACTTGTTTTGATAGACTAAAGAGGAGCCCATGAATTACTCTATGGATGTGTATATGAAAACTCTATTAATGAGATGCTAATTGCATATTAAAACTACAAAGAGAACAGGTCAAAAAAGTTTGGTTGCCAGAGTCCCTAAAAATAGTTTTTTTTACTTCTTACTGAATATGAGGAGGACAATTCCAGTACAATTCCAAGATGTTGATCTTGCTGCCATTGCCCACAGAGGAGGTAGAATACATTAAAATGTAATTGAATCATGTCAACGATGAAGGATATATGAATTCAAAGGGATAATGAGAAGAAGGTTCTTGTAGAATGCTACTGAAAAGGGACTGCAAATATAGTAAAACATTATTAAAGAACTCACCCTGTCTATTTCGGGGTGATTCAATAGAATCTGTACGATTTCTGCATGACCTCCCCCGGCAGCGAAATGAAGAGGGGAACTGAGCTGGCCATTTAACAAATTAGGATTACACTTTCCTTTCTCTAGGAGCATACTCGTGGCTTCCACCTTGCCATACCTTAGGGAGGTAAAAGTAAGAATGTGAAAAGAACACCTTTCATTCTAAAGTGGAAACATACATTACAGTTGTTAGAGATTTAATAGCCTGTGGACAGCCAATTCCCTTAGAACTAATAGCACTGAGCAGATTAACTCAGCAGTTGCTAAGGAAAATAGTTCACAGTTCAGTAAAACAAGGCTGCCCTGGAAGCCAATAATAAACCATGGGAAATAAGTCACGCACTTTAGTCTGTGCATTTACCCACAATGCAGTGGACAGGTATCAACATTGTGTTCACCTATGATTCAACTTACATGCATCCAAAATGCATGCACTCACTCACAGCAATTTAGCAATTAATGCATATATTATAGATGGGACAACCCCCATAAACTTTTTGGTCTGTACATTTTCTAACCATGTAAGTCAAGCATGTAAAACTCGCGGCCCACAATGGACATCTTTGAGTCCCGGTGAGCTGAGAGTACATGCTTAGTGTTAAAGCAGAGTAGGCACCTGCTTTCTTTACATTGCAGGTGCCTACTCTGCTAAAATTTACTCGCCCGGGAGGAGAGGTCACTGGAGGAGCTCAGTCTTCCTGCTCCTCACTGCTCCATCGCCATCTGTAGTGATGCCGGGTGCCAGAAAAATTACATCATATTCTGGCACTCGGCATCACTAAACTGCTTGCATAAAGGAACAGTGAACAGCAGTAAGGAGATCTCCAGATTGAAGATCCCCACTGGACCCCTGGGATAAATACAATGATGTGAGTGTGTGCAAGAATGTGTAAATGTATGTGTGTGTGTGTGTGTATGTGTGTGAGTATGTGTCTGTCTGTATGTCTGTGTGTCTGTCAGTGAGTGCCTGAGTGTCTGTGTCAGTCAGTGTTGCAATAGCCGTGGCTGGACAGTGGAGGACCTTGAGGCACACAACGCCATGTCAAATTCCAACGAGACATTGACGTGCTCCACCTTCACAGGGTTTCAAGAAGCAGCGGGAGGATCCGCTTTGGCACAGGGTGTGGACAGTGTGATTTGGGATATACCAGAGGCCGTACTCCGGAGTGGCATACTGGCAGCGCCAATGTGAGTGGCTACAGGGGGGTGCTGGTATTTAGTGAAGGGGGTGCTGGGATTTAGTATATCGGGGGGGAATGAGATTTAGTAGAGGGGGGTGCTGTGTTTTTTTATTTTATTTTTAATACTGTACTTTTCAAAATAAACCTATATTTCTATGAAAATTTAAGTTGTTTTTTTTTGCGGCCCACATAAAAACTTAAACCCTTGAATTTTATCAGCAAACTGTCCTATCTCTAATCAGTCTCATTTTGTTTTCAGATCTAGCTAAATCAATATACAAAGATGGATTCAATCTCTAAACAACCAAAAGCAAATTGGTCGTATGGTTTGTTCCTAAATCACTAACGTCTTAACTGCTTTGCATAGTTGGAAATATGTTCATTTTAAAAGTGTATTAAATAAAGACGATTGGACAGCTCTGATGAGCAATTACTGAAAAAATGCAACTGGAAGCTCATTGTTTAACAAACAATAATGACATTGCAATGGGAAATCCTTAATTTTATATTCACGATCAATAGCACCTAATAAAATGTATCAGCATATACATGGCATGAATATCATTTCCCATCCTACTGGGAATTCAAACATGATTTATATTAAAATTCAGAATGCATAAAGCTATATCAACGCTGAGGTCACACAGTGGTCAATCAATATGCAATTTAAAAAACAAAACTTTGCAGTGCTAGTGTTGAAAGCTCAGACAGCAAGCTTTTAATGATTACATCAAATATTTGTTGTATGTTGTTTTTTAGTTTCATATGAGCTCATGTTTTTTTTGTTTTATATACTTCATAAAAAAAAAAAAAATAAAAAAAAAAAAGCCTTGCAAAATAAATCTATGTCTATCCGAGCCGTGTTGCTACTCACCAGCATGCATAGTGAATTGGTGCCCACTGATCATTGTCTAACTGGTTTACTGAAAAGCCCTTATCCAGTAACCGCCCAAGCAGTTCTGTATCGCCTTCACAGGCACAGCGGTGCAAAGGAAAGTCGTCAACCCACTGGCGCTCCCTGCAGAGCAATAACAAAGAACAGGTTAGATGTAAATAAAAATGTAGAATTGCATCCTACAGCTCCACAATTCTGTGAACGGAGCTGTTGCTAAAGATGATAAATTGCCAAGCAGCAGTGATCCGCTAGGCTTTGATAATGAATAAAAATGCTGCCAAGTGCTTAATTGTACATCCCGCAATCCCTCGCGCAATGTAGGCTCAATGAATTGGAAGCCTTCTGATTCGTTGATCCATTTCTTGGTCTGTAAAGATCTCACTGCAGAAGATGAAAACCCAGCAAATGCATGGACTTTAAAGCTTTCTCTTTATTACTACTTTTTTTTGCAGATATTTATTGCATAAAATCGGTCACTTCTAAGCTGGATTTCCCCTATGGCACACTATCGAATGCTAAATAGAGTAGACACCGTTACTCTATTCTATTAAGCTAATTCAGCAAGTTGAAAATAAGATTCATTACAATGACATAACATGACATACTTGTCTTCCATGACACTGCTCATGCTTCTTTGCCATTTTTCTCTTTTTGGGATCTGTATCTTTGAATAATCGGGAGCTCCAAGTCCAAAGTATGGGTTTATAACCACTTTGTCAACCTAGAACATCAAACGAAAAATATTTATCTCACAAAAGCATGTGATGTCCACAGCAGAGTACCACTACAATCTACTTTTAAAAAATACTGAAATCAGTACAGTTCAGCTTTGCACATACTGCTGTTGCTAATGTTGATCTAAAATGTGTCAAAAGAAACACACTGAAGATATTTACAAATTTAACTAAAGACACAGAAAAATTGTTTGATTAAAACATGATTTCTTTCTGGATTAACAAGTAATTAATAATCTGTATATTAACCTTGATTTTCTAAATCAGTTGTTTACAGGGACTCTCCAGTGCCAGGAAAACAAACTTGTTTTCCTGGCACTAGAGAATCCTACAGTGCCCCCTTCCCTCCTGTCCCCCACCCCATGTTGCTGTAGGGATTAAAACTCCTTCCGACACATACCTGATGTCTGCCAGCGGGGAAGACCTATTGCGCATGCGCCGTATACGCACGCACGCACGCATTAGAGCTCCCATAGGAAAGCATTATTCAATGCTGTCCTATGGGGATTCCGGCGATGCTGGAGGCAACGCATAGCGTGAGGACGTCCAGCATGTTTAAGCGACCAAAAAGTCGTTTAAGAACCCGGAAGTCCCTCTACTGGCTGTCTCATAGACAGCCACTAGAAGAGGACTTAACCCTGCAAGGTAAAAACTGCAATAATTACACATGCAGGGTTAAGGGTGATGGGAGCTGGCACCCAGACCACTTCAATGGGCAGAAGTGGTCTGGGTGCCCGGAGTGTCCCTTTAATATTGCATTTTATTGTTTTATCATTAGCAAACTTACATATATATATTTTTAAAAAAAAAAAGGTTATATATAGGTAGGTAGGTAAAGAGAATGCAAATATTTGTTAAATTTTCCAGCCAAGTGTATTTTAACTCTCGCAAAACAAACACACACGCTCTCTCTCTCTCCCCCCCCCTTTTTTTTTCCCATACATAAACTCTTGCATTGTTCTTATTCATTACATGTCACCTCCGCACGTTCCCTTTTCATGTTCTATATTTGAACATTTTATGATGGAAACATTGTAGGCACTTTACCCTATTTGTGTACTGAAGATCAGACCCAAACAAAGGATTGTAGATACACAGGTCAGCCTTTTCCAGGGCCATCATTTTACTCTTTATCTCCAGAGCGGTATAGCCCATGTGCAGGGAATGCTCAGACTGGGAAGATTCTGTGGTATACGCAGGGTTCGTTACATTGGTTTTAATCCTCTCTAGAGGCGAAGGCCTGAACAAAGCAGAGATGGCATGGGACTGGGTATGCTGTTCTTCTAACCACCTGTATAGAAACAAAATACCATGTGAGCAATTACCATGAAACTGTGATGCTGAACGTTAACACTTGCTGAGCATCATGGGAAAAGTAATCAACGAACAGCTTAGGTTAGTCTGTGATCACAGTTATAAAGAAACCATTTACGAATTATCACACTAGCTTAAACCTGATCACCATTATTAACGGATTTAATTAAATATGAATCCCACCATAATCCTTAATGACTTTCGTTCTATCTAGATACATATTTTATTGCATACAGCTACTTTCTCGTACCTGTTTTTTCCCAATCCTGTGTCATTAAATAAGGTTTAGTGGCCCTGCTCTATATCCTCAATATTATTAAAAAAGTTTATACAATCCACTTTCTCAACAAATCCTTGCTGGAATACAGACATCCACAATCTATGATGGGGTTTACATGTTTAATTATGCCTTTGATGAAGTGCTAGACTGAAATGTGTCAAGTTTATGCTATTATTCACAGTCCGGCTCCTGTGACACGACAGACGGTTCCCTTTTAGTCTGCCCTCATTTATGAAGGACTATATCCAAGAAGGAATTTTTGGTCTGAACAAAGGTTGGCTTTTTTTAAACGGTGACCACCAGCACAATGGTCCATCTACCAAACACTGAATTTCTTTATGCATAGATGCAATGCTCTTCCAATTTTTGGCATCCATGTATTGGTGTATATTTTCCAAATAATTTTATTCTAAGAAGAGGAAAATCATGACAGAGGAGCTTTAGAGTTCAGTTGGCTAATTTGGCATTGGACAAAGTGATCCATCTCCACTGTGTATCCGACCGTGTCCTCCTGTCATCTATCAATAGATCACAGCTCACATAATTTGCCGGGTGGCAGAGAAATATATATTGTAGCCAGAAAGCCAGAAAGAGCCCGAGCCAGAAAGAGCCCGAGGGCAAAGCATAGACACCTTTATTGACATCCATGCTCAACCATATTAGAAGGAATTATATTAAATTCAATAAAAAAAATTAAAAAAAATTAAAAAAAAAATCAGATTGATATCAGGAATGAAACACATACAATACATTGCTTTCTGTCAAAAAAATAAAAATACAGCTTACTTATCTAGAGCAATTAACATCCGGGCTGTAATTGTGGAAAAATGAGTACTTGATTCACTGCAGACCCTCATGATATCTTGCAGACAGTAGAAAACCGGAGTTCCTGGGTTACAAGTGCTCTTCACATTTTCTTGGAAAAAAAGCAACAAAAAAAAATTAAAAATAACCATCAAATTTAACCATTACCCTTAATTTTACCTGCTTGACACACCTTTTAAGTACAAAGAAGTCAACAAACTGTGTGCAGAGTGATGGCCATCCTTGGGCAACTTAGCTGCCTGCAGTGGTCTACCTTTCCCATGATGCTTAGTAAGCCAAACAGGTTATGGAGCATCATGGGAAATGATGAAATGAAGAGAACAATATGTGGAGTGCAAAGGCGAACCAGCATTACCTATGGAACTCTGTGTGTGTAGACAAAAGAAAAAAAAAAAAAAAAAAAAA